GCTGGACTGCTGTAAAACTGTTTCCCGGCAAGGCTCTCGTTTTGTGAGGTGCTCTGCGTGGTTGCACAATTCCCTGTCCCTGCTAGGCATGAGTAGGACGGGGTTCCTTGCCAAGTGTATTTGGAGTCGTTGGGAGGCGGTTCTGCCTCCTAGATTAGTAGATAATATACTCGCCTACGAAGGGGAGGCTCCGGGTTAGTCCCTCCTTGAGCCCTAAGGGGTGTTTAGATCCCCCCAGCCACTGAGAACGATGCCCGAAGGTGGCCAATTGAAATGGCTTTGATGTGCAAACGGCAGATAGGACTCCCAGGGCTAGAAAGAAAGGAGAAAAAGAGTTTTGTCACCCTTAGATAACTAATGAGGATTTGGGTGGCCCTGGTCCCGGGGCTGTTTTTGACTATTAAATGTAGACATGGTTGTGGGACCTGGGACCTGCGAATTCTTCCCCTCCCCCCTAAGCCGTATCACCAAGTTTTGGTGGGTTTTGTAAACTGATCTCTCTGTAGCCCTTTGAGGGAATGGATGTGAAGATCAGATTTTCCATTTTGGCTATGAAGCAATGGGAGGTCAAATTCTTCAGAGGTCCACAAATTTGGAGCCCACTTTAGTGAAGCTTTAGCCAGTGACTAAGGAACAACCTGGAACTAGCCAAGGGGAATGGATTTTTTGATTCTTGTTCTAAGGTTTCTTACTTTCTGTGGATGGACCGTGGGTACTTAATTTCTGATTTCTGAATTCCATTATTCCTGTAAGCAGTGTCTGAAAAGTTAGGCTACTCTGTCTTTTATTTGTAGCACTAAATAATTTCTGGAATTCCTGGTCCCCAATCCTGTTCTCATCTGTATTACATCTTTCCATTGATTTCTTCTATAGGATGCAGACTGGAGGTTATTGTTTTCTACCAGTTTTGGGAAAAGTGTTTTTAAAAAAAAAAAAAAACACCGTCGGTAATGAGCACCCTCATTCCAGTAGAACAATTCTTAGTCCAATTCCAGCTATTTAATTGTAATGACTGAAATATATGAAGGTTTGTTGATATTGAAAGATTGTATTTGCTTGAGCTGGATTCATTTGTTGAACTGATGTCGCACGTCCACACGCACACCCACCCACCCCCCGACACAACGCACAGACGTTAGTTTTCTGTTAGACTCGTGCTCAGACTTACCATTTAGCTGCAGGATTTTCAGCTTTGAGGCAAGATAACGGCCAAACTGGGTAGCTGGGGTCAAAGACGAAAGGGAGGGGAGCAGGCAGATTGCTTTCAGTGATAACTCGTGCTTGGAGCAGGCGAATGAGGGGCTATGCGCTTTACCTCTCCTTTGAACTTCACGTTCCAGCTGGAAACGAGTATGGTATCCAAGATATTGCTTCTCAAACTGGGGAGGATGGTAATGCGAAGGATGCATCTGAGGTGGAAACATGCGAAAGCAGCACTTTTTAGAGGCCTACTGGGATTCTCCAGAGTTGTGCCTCTTGCTTGTCTCAGCTGGCTTTGGTGAATTATGGCAGAGGGTTAGGTTAGCAACCTGCAACTGCCGTGGAAAGGAGGGAGGAGGGGGAGAAAGGGCATCCCAGCTCTGTGTCCCTGAGGGACAAGCTCTGGGTGAGCCCCAGCTGGAGCACCTCCAGGCTGCCTTCCCTTTGGCTCAAGGCACTGGTGCCCAGGCAGCACTGCCCGGAGGACATGAGGCGTATGCATGTGTGTACGTACTAGGAAATCATTGGCTCTAGATTTGGGAGAGAAGAGAAGTGAAATGTGCCCTGGGAAGGGTGAAAGAGGCTTGTTTGCTGGAAAAAAAGAACAGGGAGTCCTGATCCAAGGCCTCCAATGGAAAAAGGAAGGGCTATTTATTTCAAAAAGGTTTCACCATAAAAAATTGTAATGATGCATTTATGTAGCACAATTTCTGTAGCTGTTCACAGCTGCTCATTGTAGTTTTCGAATCGATTAAATATATTTTCTGAGATGTTTCAATGGTTTTAATTGTTAAATGTTTCCTTTGTTTGTTCTGTAAGTCACTCTCTGAAAGCAACGTTAGCGTAAACTGCAGTAGAGCTTTGCTAATTCACACAAATGAGTGGGAGAGTTAATGCTTATTAATTCACTTGTAAATTTGGTGAACAAATTCAGCATCCTTAAAGTCTGTTGTTTAATAACTCACCATATATTATGTTTATTCATTTTTATGTATTTTTCACAATGCATATCACTTCAAATTAGTGAAGTCTTGGCAATGTAAAACCTGGCTTCAGGAAAGTTTGTCGTAAAAACGAGGAGATACTAGAATCTGTGAATGGCACTGGTGGAGAGGCCATACTGCTGGAACATAAGTTAATGAAATACAATGTATAGCTATTGGATTAGTTGAGGAAATCAGATATCCTACTTTCAATGCACCAAGCTCAAATTGTAAACAGTCTTTAGATTTTAGATGTAACACCTCTTGAATGCATCTCAGGGTTAGTACTAGGACAGCTATAACTTCTGTACTTAGATTGCTGTATGTTTTTAATTATGAAAGCTATTTGTAATCCCTCTTGAGAAACTTTGCCAGCTCTATTGTTTGCAGTAGGCTTGTATAATCTGGAAGAGTGAAGAGACTGAAGAAGCGCCTCTGCTTTGTGCTGTGAAATTCTATTCAATCCTAGCCAAGTTATACGTTGTTTAAAAATTACCATTTCCCTTCTCTGCTTATGTTTCTCAGAAAACATTGTCAAGAAGCCAAACAATAATTGAACCTCAGTCTTCTAAAAAGCCTGGCAAAACTACAACTATGACATGCAAAGAGCTGGGGGGGGAGATATGGGGAGGTGGAGGAAGAAAAGCAGGCAAGTTCATGGTCTCTCAGCTACTCTCTGCGGCCTGGCATGTGGTGCGAGTGTGGCAGCTTACTCTCTAGGAACACCGTGCTTGGCAGTCATCCTGGGATCCCAAAGGAAAAAGAGAGAAGGAAACTATTCGAAGCAAGTCCTCCTGCTTGCTCTCACTCTTCATCCCAGCGCCCCGTTCTGCTTCTGTAACAGCAACATCATTTTTACCTTCTGTAGGGAGAGAAAATAGGAGCAGCTAGAAAAGATTAATTTCCATCTAAACACCATATTGTCCACAGTGGCCACCATTCTGCTATATCACCATTCTGGCTATAAGTTTGGCCTGTTACGTTAGTCTTGCAGCTTAAAAAGGGATTGGTTGTGCTAGCACCATTGTATCCCATGTTGACAAAAAATGGAATGCAACTGTTGGCTACACTGTTTTCCTACACTTTTCGTTTAAAAGCTTGTGTGTCCCAACAGAATATTTCAGGTTGTGAGGTCAAGACTTAGAAGTTGGGACATGTCGAAAGTATGGTTGCCTGTGCAGCTGTCACTTTATCCTTTTGGGTATGATTCCGTCTTTTCTTGTATGATTATGGAGCTGGCCGCTTACCTCTCGTCTGAATTCTTGATCACGGATCCTACTGAACTCTTGTCTTATTTGTTGCCCCCGCTGGATGTAGAAGGGCACAAAGTTATAGTGATCTAGTTGTCATCTCTAAACTTCTTAGACCGTAAATTACCTTGTAAGTCTGTTCTTTCTCTATGCAGTCATACACATTAATGCAGAAATATAAGGTCAAATAATAATGAAACATTATAGGGTTAAATTAATCCTTTAGTAGCTTCATTAATTTGATGGGATTACACAAGAGACTAGGCTGATTTATAATGTAAATCCATTTTAGTAAAAGGTAGGGAAATGACTAAATGAACAATTGCAGTTAAAGATGCATGACTCTAATAGAGTTTAATTTTAAATGACTGCAAAGAAAGTAGTACATGCCACTCTATTTTGTTAAGCTAGAAATAAATAAAATACACTGCGACTGTTGTAGCTAATTAGCTAACTGCTCAACTAGTTAGCTTTTAAAACAAGATCATACTTAAGTGCCTTAAGCTTTTATTAATTGCATGGACCCAAAAATCCCCTATAGTAATTGAAAATTTAATTACATACTTTTTTGCTCAAGAATGGAAGCTTATTAAACTTTAAACACTTAAACATCTATGGAAGTACCAGTGGCTATAAACAACATGCAATTCTAAGTACTAATTAAACAGGAAGGCTAAATCACTATAAAGCTAAACTGAATTTTAAGTAACTTTGTACTGGTAAGTGCTCCTATTTTTTTTTTTTTCATGCAATATAAGATTTACCGTTTCCTCTGCAAACATGGCTGAAGTCCTGTGCGGTTTTAGTATCTGTCTCTACTTTGGCAGACAGGCTGTATTGTGGAAGTATTTGGAGTGAGGAGGATCCCTAAGGGAATGGGCAGGGAGCTGTTTAAGTGGTCAGCTGAGGTTGCTGATGGCACTGACACGTGCAGAAGGCATGGGCACGTGGTAGAATAAGACTGGTGAAAAACAGGGAGAGGTGACTTTGTGGGACTGGTCAGAAAAGCCATCTTCCATGCACAAGTGACTCAGAAGATCTCTGACCTGATAACAGTTACCTGTTGAAAGGTCCTTAAATTCTCTTTGATTTACAGAAACTTCATGGAACTGCGACCAGAGATTCTGATATCTCTATTCCGTTTTTCAGATCCAATCTGATGCAAGTTACTGTCAGTTGATCAGCTGATTTGATGGCTCGGTTAATTTTCTTTGGACGGATGTCTGCGCCTCTAAATTAACCATCAGTGTTTGCATTCTTATTAACACAAGATAAAGGTAGAAAGGCCCACTCAGTCTGAACTATCCTCCCATTTTTAGATGGTGCTCAGTTGGGTGCTTTTTTGGATATAAAAGTTCATTTTTTGCTTCTGGTCAGTCAACCCAACAACAAGACCATTAATACGTTACGGTTGAAGGAGGTTGCCCATGCTGTGTTATCCTATGCTGCTCAAGGCAAGTCTCTACCTAAAGGAGCATTTGAGATGCTGCTGATTACTGTATGCCTGCCTATACTGGAATTTAAAATGCCTCTAGGGATAGCAGAAGTAACCTAGTGGGATTAATGGCAAAGGACGCACCAGAATACAGGTTATTTTCAAAGAGTCTTCCAAGCGCCGATTGTGAGGGCTGCCAGTTCATCAGACAAATATAATTCCTCTCTCATCAGAGTGCTGCAGAAAATACTCAAACAGTAAACACTTGATATGTTTGTCTTCTGTGGCAACCACTGTGTTTTCGTACTGTTTTTTGAATATTCAGAGACAGCTGTGATCTTGCCTTTTGATATGTGGGCAAACACAACAGCAGTTTTGCTCCAGATAAATCAGCGTGAGCAATCGCGTTTAAAAGATTGTACAGGTGGCTTTCGCAACAAGTGGTGACTCCAGCTTCTCTCTCGCCCCTCAGACTCGGGCTCAGAAGATTCAAGTCATGCAAGAGAAACAGTAGAAGGGCGACAATGCAAAATCTGTTTTCCAAATACCAACAACAGTCAGAAGAACGGGAGGGGGAAGATCCTTTCATCCCAGAGCACCAGCGTTTTGTCTTTGGTTTTTCATTTGCTTGCGACTGTTGACAGAATTTGTCCGTTTCTTCTTGCAGCACCTCTTTGGAACTGGTCTAGTTCATTCAAAAAATATTCATCTACTGGTCATTTACAGAGCATTCTTCATCCTCCAAATGCTTTATAAAAATCATCTTTGTACCACTTCTGGCAGGCAGGTGGTGTTGCAGCTCACTTAGGATAGGGAAACAGAATGGTTGTTTAATTTTATCAAGACGGTAAAAAGTAGCAAGGGGGGGGGGGGTATAGTTTCTTCCCTTTTTCCCGGAGAGTTGGATTCTGTTTTCTAGAAAACCAGAATGAAGACTTTACCAGTCTTTTTGTTAATATATGAAACAGAAATACACAAAAAAATCCCAGGAAACGTTGTTAAAAGCAAAGGCCCAGCCCTTTCCTAATTGTGTCACTAGATGGCCCCATGTCTGAAGCAAACATCCCAGGGGAAAAAAAAAATCTGCGATACTGGAAGACCCTTTCCCTGCTCTACCCAGTACTTTTTACAGATTAGCAGGCACAGGGGTAAACACTAGTCTCAAAATAAAACACTTGAGATAGCACAATCAGCTAGTGTGAAAATTAGCAGGAGAATGCTCTGTGGTGTCCGCTGCTGCGTGCAGTGCAGAAGGAGCAGACGCGTCTGAGCTGACAAAGGAAAGGCACAGTGAAGAGGTAGGCTGCTTTTGCGGTATGCTCCACCACCCAAAAGCACCCTTTCTGCAGTTTGCTATAATGAAGCCGCGTTCCAAGAGGCCGGAAAGAATAGAGCGATTGTGTATGAATATCCCTTTAACGCATCTTTGGGTCCTTAAAAACCTAAGTTATTGCTTTAATCACTAGTAGTTCTTTGTCTTGTTTGTGTGCCAAGAACTTGCGGAGAGCGGAAGTCATTGCTACAGAGGCTGAAGCTCAGTGTCCAGTATGAAGAGGCCAAAGATTCGTGGGTTTGTCTCCCACAGATGCCACTTTCTAACACTTGGGCTAGGCTTTTTCTGAGGGAGGGATGAGGTCACTGTCTGAGTCGGGTAAGAGGAGTGGAAACTAGGAGTGGAAGTGGGATTCTATATTCCTATTACTGTACAATATGATCTGGAATATAGGTGCTATAAACTACCTCTCTCCCCCATCCACTGAATCAATGGCAGTTCTTCAGGCTCATGCTGCCTCCCCTACATGAGCTGAGGATGCCAGCATCCTAAAAGAGAGAAGAAATAGTTTATTTGTCTAAATGGGAGTTCGAAAATACCTGCTGCTCCTGTGATCCCGTCTTCAAATCCCAGTGAGGCAGACTGAAGCTGATATGCTTATTTCTAGAGCTTTCCTTGTAATGACTTCTGGTGAGACCCTAAAATCTCAGAGCTTCTCTGTTTGCAGAGATGAAGCACGTATGGCAGCACTATATGCACCCCCAGATATAGTTTAACTGCATGACGGCGAAGATATGTTTTCCACTGCCATGCTCTTATCACTGAACCAAATGCAAATACCTGTGGTCTCTCAAGTCTGTGAGGAGAAATCTATGGCACTGGCTCCATACTGAAATTTCTGCAGGTAGGGGCCTGACTTTGGTCACGCCTGTGTTTAAAAATTGGGCGAGTCTGGCATTATCCGGAGCTATCAGTTCTTCAAATGTTCTGTATTTCACATGAAACGAGAGGTGCCAACAGTGCCCAGTTGGTCTTTGCAGCGTAGTCACGCAGATCCCAGACCTGTTCTCCACCGCCCCATCTCAGAGCACGCAGAAGACGGGTTTTGCGGGGAAGGGACACGCGAGGTTTGCTTGCGCAGCCCTTGGAGATGCTGTGCATGAGGTCCATAAGAGTCCTATCCCGAAATCCCTATCGGCCTGAACATGTTGGAGAGCCGTAATCACAGTAAGGGAAGTAACTTATTTTTTCAACCTCAAGGTAATTTTCTTTCCTCTGGGAAAAGGTTTCTGCCCATCCAGGATCCCAGATAATGCGTAAGAAAAATTACATTGAAAACCACTTCTGTTTATTAACGGTGAGTTGTTTTACAGTTCTTAGACGCTCTTGTCTTAATTTGCTTGTTTCCACAGGCTACATTTAGATGCTGTTTACAGCAATAAAGAGAATGTTACGTTTGATCTAGAGTTCTCTCTTAATTCACAGGATGAGATGCGAACAGAAGCTCGTCGAAAAAATCTCCTCATTCTGATTTTGCATTACTTAATGGAGGAAGGGTATGTTTTTTAAAATAACAGTGCCCTACGTTTGTGTGTCTGACCTCCCATAACATGTAGTTCTGTCCTCTGTTGGGTGGATGGGCAACATGGCCTTTGGGCTCTATGTGAGGAAGGTAAAAAGGTAAACTACTATTAAATAACACTGTTTACTTTGTTAATTCATTTCATTTTCTGGAACAAAATGTCCTTTATTAGTTAAAAATATATTTGAGCAGTTAGCAAAGGATTTTAAAATACGGTTAATGGAGTTTATAATGAATAGAGAGATGTGGACATCCTAAAAATGTAATGTACTTGCTAATGTCACTGTTTTTTTTTTTTCTCAAAAATTGGAATAAAATAATGACTCTCAGTTTCATGTTCTTTGCTTTTTTTGAACTTTGCAGGTATATTGATGCTGCAAATGCTTTGGAACAAGAGACAAAATTAGGTTTACGTGGCTTTGAAGTTTGTGACAACATTGATCTTGAGACAATTTTGATGGAATATGAAAGCTATTACTTTGTAAAATTCCAGAAATATCCTAAGATTACTAAAAAGGTCCTAGACACTGGTATGTGGCTGTGTTCCAAGAAGAAAGCTTTTGTTTCTCTAAGCTTGAAAAGTATATTTACCTGAAATACTTGCTGCGCTTCTCATGCGTGTCTGTGTTTACTGTTTGAACTCTCGTATGTTTATGTTAGAGCTACGTTCCTAGCACTTAGGACATAGGATTTAAGAGATGGGAGGTTTCAGCCTTTCTGTTCTTTTTTTTTCCTCTGTTCTTCTAAACAAGAAGATGGTGTTTTTCTGTCTCTTACTTTGATATTGGAAAAGGCTGTGTGAGTGCAAAGTATTATAGCATAAATATTTTCTCTCTTTTTTCCCTAATAGGGTAGGAATAGTAAGTCAGTAAAGGACTTAGTCTGAGGTATAAGTGAATGACAGAGAAGAGGACAAATCAGAACATAAACATTTTGGTAGGACTCTGAGAGCCTGAATGTTTTTGAACTTGAGCATGAAGTGTAACTTATCGAAGCCATGAGAGCAGTTGTACAGGAGTCAGGTATGAAGAGCTTAGAGGGTGCAGAGAGCACAAGCTACTCTTACCTATGTTTCTTGTAAGACAGAGATAATAATTAGGGAGAGGAATGACTGGCCAGGGAACATCTCGGCCTTTTCCACTGTTTCATATGGTTGCCAGCAACTTTGAAATCCCAGGTAAATGAAACATTATATAAATATAACTAAATTGCCTATGTAGGTGAAATGATTTTGAAAACCACTAAAGCCGTTAGTCATTATGACGTTCACTGTTACGTAGAAGATCAGTAGTAGCTAGAAGCAAACAACGTCTCCATGAAAGAGATTTACCGCCAGAGCCCATTGATTGCTGTCAATATAAAGAGGAGGAGCCCTGCAGCACATAAACCAAGAGATTCATTATGAATCAAGAGGGAAAATGTATTACAAAGCATTCATTACATTATACTTAGGCTAATATTCTCCAACTGAGCGGTAGCCAAGGCTGGATCCATCAAAATGGAGCTTAGATCCAAGTGGGCAATCCCCAAAAGTCCCCTAAATCTCTTAGGTGCTTACAAGCTCTTGGTCACGTTTTTCAGTCAGTAAAATTACACAGACACTGGTACTCCGCTGTTACTCAAGCTGCTACCATGCTGGCTGGGATGTAGCTTCCTCTTTTGCTGAAACACAAGCAGCCTCTCTCCTGTGCACCTCTCGCTATGAAGCTACTGCCAGGTAGCTTGTGGCCTGCTGTAAAGCGTCTCCACCATCAAATGGGGGTATAAGCATGCCAAACAAAATGATTAGAGCGGTGCACCTTCCTGTAAACTCTTTGTAACGCTCTAGGCAAGTCCTCTGGAACCAGCTTGGTTACTTCTGTGCCGAATTACAGTTTGCACCGTAGATGTACTGCCCAGGGTTAAGAATTTCACGCGTAGGGCCTGCTGCCTATAAGTATCCCATGTCCCCAAGCACTTACAGTGAATCAGCTGTTTGGGAAATACTATTTTATGTAGGCGTATGAGAATTTGGGTGCAAGACTGTTGTGCGGAGAACACTGATGGGAGATGTATTTTGGAGCAACAAGGCATATGCTAGTTTAACACAAAGCCTCATGTTTATGAGTTCAGGTCTGGGCTTTGGAGTTAACCATGAATTTGACGTTTTGTGAAAAAGCTTTACTTTGACAGAAATTTTCTCCAATGATTTATATCAGCGAAAAAAATGAAGTTTGATAACCACGATTGCAATGTGACATTTACGCTATCCTGCTATGTTGAACATGATAAATTTACTAAGAGTGAGGCAAATTCTTTATTTCCTAATTTGGTAAGGGAAAAGTTATTAGCATTAAATAATCATTCTGTGCAATATATGAAATTAGTCTGTTGTGCTTGGTCTGATTTGTGGTAGGGTCCATTTTACTGCGAAAATGACATTTGTTTTAAAATATAAGAAGAGAAACCAAAGACTTGAATGGGTTTAAGCATTTAACAAGCCTGAACTCTGAAAACTCTCCAATATCGGTTCTGTTTTCAAAACATTTTTGCAGGCTTGAATTGCTTATAATCATGCTGGTCCCGTCTCTGCATGTTTCCAAGGTCCCTTAATATATGCTCAAATATATTTTTAAAAGGAAAATAACCAAGTTGTCCTTTTTTATATTCTTAATTATTTTCCATCTCAATATTAATTTTGCCACAGCAGAAAATAAACAGCAGCTGAGAACTGGAGGAAAGCCAAGAAGGTAAGAGAAATGAGTGGGGCATTTTCTGGACAGAGAATTTTCCTCCAGTAGCAACATGCAATGTAGTTAAAATAACGCTGTGATACTCTAGGAATCCTAGACTTGCCTAAACTAGCCTAGAACCGTGCTGCTGACCACATGGTGAATTTTCCTGTGTCTTTGAGAAGTAAGTAAAGAGATTTTTCCCAAATGGAGATGCAGGCAATTTGCTGAAGTTTCTGCGCTGCGGGTAGGGTGGAGCGTTTGAAAGCAATGAGCTTTGGAGTTTGCTGTGACTGAAATCAATGCCTTAACTTCAAGCAAAGCGAAATTGGCCCCAAAATGCTTTCAGGACATGCTTTTTTGTATTGTAGGGCAGCAAGCTCTTCCCAGAATCTCCCAAGGATCAAACATCAGACAGTGCAGCGACCGTTGTCAAAAACTTCACCTGGGAGCACAACAGAACGTAAATCGTCCCCCAAGGAGAGCCCCAAGCAGGTATCAATGTATTTTATCGTGACAGTGTTGCAGCTGCAATTAATGGGATTTTATTCTGAGTGGCTACAGCCAGTGAGAGGATGCGAGTTACACAGTGTGTGATTGTGTAACTAATGGGTTTTACTGTTCACAGAATTTAGGCGTAATAGATGCAAGACTCCAGAAGATGGTTTCTGGCTGTGAGTTGGGGAGCCTGTCATGCACCAAATTTAGAGGAAAGGCAGAGGAATTCCTATTATCCAGCATGCACTGAAATCAGCAGGAGTCTTTCCACTACCCTCAGTGGATTTAAGGATTGATCCTTTAGTGCCAGAAAGCAGGAAAAACAAACCAGGTAGTAAGCCTGGTGTGAGGTGAAGCATCTTCACAGTGCATAAGGTGTTTGAGCTTGAGGGACTAATTTGGCTCTAATTTTCAGTTTTGTGAGTCTCATTACAATAAGACTGCTGAGAAAACTACTTTATTACCCTCCTTTAAATTGGGGGGAGCAGGAACAGCAGATTGGTGGGGAAGCAAGGCATTTTGTTACAGCTCTTGAGGAACTGGATGAGGGAGAGCTTTTTTTTTTTTTTTTTTAAGGTCTTTGCCCAATTTCTTTGTGGGGCTGGATCTCGTGTTTGACCAGGTTTTTTTTGTTTTTGTTTGTTTTAATATAGGTCTTGGACACTACAGCAGTAACTGCTTTGAAGTGAATGTCAGAGTAATTTACAATGCTAAAGTGTCTCCTTGTTTCTGTCTAAGCAGCTGTACTGTGCCTCATACTTTTCTGTCGTTTCCGCTGTCCATTAGCGCATAGTTTCTTCTCACTGCTGAGTAAGATGCAGATTTCTGCAACTTAAGGTGGAAGTTCTGCAAATGAAATAACTGAATGCTGAGCTTTAGAGCTATGACTGTCAGCGTTGCTGTCGGCAGGCAGATGAACTGAAGTCCAGCAAACTGCGCAACGGTGCTTGACTAATACAAGATTACTGTTGCGAGTTCTGTGTGATGAAGCAGTTCATCTGGGCATGTATAAGGAGGTGGGATGATACCTATAATGGGATGATATCTGCAGCTCATCTACTTGGCAACGCATCTGTTTTAAAATTGATTTTTCTTTAGAATAATGACAGTACTCTGGAGCAATCCGACTTCGGCTTAAGCATCTCAGCAATCAACAAAACTGGAGGAGGAGAAAGCACTCACCCAAGGAGGGTTGGTAGAAACCTAATATGTAATTTATAACAGGAATGTGTGTGTAGAAAAAGAAAATATTTGTTCACAAATATCTGACGTGAGCTTTTTGTATATGTTTTTGTAAAAAATGTTGCTGTGTAATTAGCTGAAGGGTTAATTTTATCTGATTTGGGCAGTAATTTTTTGCCCAAGGCAAAAAATTAGGAGGCTCTGCTTGCAATAAATAATATTTCAAACATACACAAGAAGGAACAGTCTTTTTGTTCTTAAAGCCCAATGGTTATAGTTAAAGTGGAAGATAGAGCTCAAATTCCTGAATGAGACGATAAGAGATTTTGCAGTTAAATTGTTGCACTGAATGTGAAGATAAGTGCATTCTTTTCCCATGGCTACCGCTGATTCTGTGGTCAGTGTTTGCCACGTTTAGGACTGTATGGGCAGACAGGGGAACTATACACAGAAATAGTAAGTAAAATTTGGCCCAGGGCCTTTTTAGCAATAGAGCTACCGTCCTGGAAAAGCTTATCACAACATTATTTTCTCCTTAAGGGCCAAATAGTTGACTTCCGTGGGATGATCCAAGATGCTATCAAAGTATCATCAAATGAAATAGCCTTCAGCAGTCTTAATTGTGATCCAGATCCATCAGTAAGTGTTTCTATTCATCTTTCTATCCAGTTAGCATGAACGTCAGTTATACAACCAGGAACAAAATAAAATACTGTAATAATCTTGTCTTGGTTCCCAAGTGCTAAAGAAGGGCTTGGTTCCTGGTAGTGTGTTTCCCTTTCCAGTGGACAGTTGTACCTGATAGTGGTCTGACTTGTTTGCTCTTTGAACATGGAAGTAGACAGCAAATACAAATTACACCTTACGATTCACAAACTACTCAATTTGCAGAAACCCACAGAAACTTGTCTGGGTGAAATTCTGGTTCCACCAAATTCAGTATGTCAGTTAGCATTCACCTCAGCTGAGTCAGGACCACAGTTTAGAGAGCTGGGATAGAAATTCTAAGTAAATTAATCACTCCTTGACACAAGCCACAACTTCCCGACGGTGCGTCCAGCTTACTCAATGTCAGTCTGTCTGTCCACTTGAAGAGATTTTCAAAACGGAGTATGTGGCAACGTGGTGACCCATATTTACATTTTTCACTGCTTTTAATCTACATAGGGTGTATTTAGGACTACTTGGGCAGTAAGAGAGCTACTCATTGTAATGTTAATTCAGGCTTCGATTCTATCATTCTTAAATATAGGAGACTACAATATGGAAAGATAAAGGTTTTTAAACCTTATTCTGCAAAAATGAAGTTACTGCAAATATGACTTATTTCAAAATACTTAATACATGTTATTCTTATACCCATATCTTTACAGCTTTAAAAGTGGATATTATTATGATATATCAGTTTTGGGAAACTATTTCACAGTTTGTGTTCCATTTAAATTAATTGAACTTTGGCTAAGTACTTATTTTTGTCTTTTTTAGGAACGATTATTAAAACCTCTTAGTGCTTTTATTGGCATGACTGGTGAGATGAGAGAACTTGCGACGGTTATAAGCAAAGTAAGACTGGACCTCCTTTGCAGTTGTATAGAGATCTTGGTTATTTTTGTCATCTGAAAATGCTGTTTGTTCCTTCTTGCTGTCATTGACAGTGCTTATTCTTGGAGGAACAAGCCTTCTCCCCCGCCCCCGTGCAACTCCCTGCAAGTCATTCTTTTCTTTGCACGTAACAATGTTTCTTCCTGATATCCAATGGAAGGAAATAATTAAGAACCTTTCCTTTCTAATGTGGACCATGCAATCTAATCATGCTGTACCTGTTAGACCATCACAGCTCTTCCCTTTATTCTTGCTGCAGGAAATGTACCTAAGTTCACTGAAAAGAGATTTAAATGTGTTATTTAACTGTGACCAAATGGTGGCAAAGGCCTTAATTCAACGCTGTGAGTGCAGTTCCCATTCAGCGCAAATGTGCTGCGTTCGGTGTGAGCGGTGTGCCAGTATCCTGGCAATAACTTGATTCTGAATGTACCTACTAGATACCATGTACCAGAATTATTAGACACTGATATTCCCGTGTTGTTTATAATGCTAGTCCTGTGCCGTGCTTTGTGCTGTCGGCATGATCCGGACTCTTTGTCATTTCTCCCTTGGCACGGCTGAGGCATGCTATTCCTGCAGGCTCTGCTAGTAGCGCCCTTCCTTCTCCCCAGCCCAGGCGCTGCAGGATGTTATCAGTAACGGTCTGCGTATCCCGGCGGAGAGCAGGGATTCTTCTGGGATGGGCAGCTGAGGGAATCCCAACATCGTCAGCACCGTTTCATTTCACTCGCCGGTGGAGGTGCAGTCCCAGCAAACAGGTTGCGGGCTGCTGGCAAGATCAGCCTAGCTACAAAGCAGGCAAATGCTTTGCGTGCATCGCCTCCCAAGCCCTGCTGAGGACTTAGCCAAAAGGCTTCCTAGTATCACAATATTTGGTAGTGTTGTGACTCTTTCTGAATATAAGCATCAGAAAAGTGCCAAAGTGGTATCAGCCATTGCTCCCATACACTTAAAATCAGCCGTTCAAATAGTATGGAAGACTTTTGCTGGTTGGTTTTATAGTTGTAATATATGTATATATGACCCAAATTCTTGATCTGAAAATTTTGCATTTGCAGCTTAGTAGAAATGAAGTCCAACAAATTTCCAACCTTGAAGTAACAAGATTTTCATTCATTTCAATTCTTGTCTGTTTTTTAATTTATGGTGAAGGTGTAAAATAGTGTTATTCTTACTGCTATTTTAGAAAAAAGCAATAGGGATGCTTTAGCCTTTTTTTATGGAAAGCTTTTTTAAATTGTGCTATTATGTTCCTAGTTGCTATGGTAATTATCACTCTGTAAATCAATAAAAATAAATAGCATGTGATATCTATTGCACCACATAATCTAATTTAATTTGGAAACACTTATGGAAGTCTCTACTTAGTATCACAAATCTGATTCATCTTAATTTGCTGTTAATAGAAAGGGAAAGTGTAACCTACCGTATATAAATAATTTTTTTAATTGTATTAAATCAGATTTTCCCCTTGGATACAAGCGCATAATTTTTCTTCAGTCTCTGGGGACTGCCTGCTTTTATTGAAGAGTTGAATTTATCCCAAGTATTTGTATTGAGGATATGATCTTTTCTGCAGAACAATTAGTCTCTGGAACGCAAAGCTACAAAATATTACTGAGACAAATTGAAAGATGCATAGAAGATCTGGGTAGTTTGAGGAATTAAATGAAATTAATTGAGTCAGTGCTTCAGAGCATAGACTAATTACCAACTACCTTTTGAGAGATGCTTAGGGGAAAACATTCCTCCCGCTATAGAACTTCTCACACCTTTTCCTGCAGTATAGATAATCTTGCCTAGCGTGGAGTAAACAGAGAGCAATTTTCACTATTACTTATAACGCAGGAGGTAGGTGCAGCCATCAAATTGTTGAGCTGCAAGTTCGAAACAAACAAAAGTACTTTTTCACACAGCACGTGATTAAACTGTGGAACTCACGGCTACAGCATAAGCGTGTTCAAAAAGAGGTTAGAAAAATTCACTGAAGAATGAATGACAAAGGGTGTTTGAACTCAAAGACAAGGATACTGTTTTTAGCTACCAAAGTCCCTAAGTTGCAGATTTCCGGAAGCTGGATGCATAGAAGTATCAGCGTATCTCTGCTACTGCTTGGGCTTTTTCTTTAAACATCCAATACTTGCCACTATCAGAGACAAAATCCTAGGCCTGGTAAACCTTCATATAACTATAGCTGTTCATATGGTAGTTGGTCACTGCTGGAGATAACAAATCTGGTCCAGATCTGGTCAGCATAAACATTTGGCAGTGTATATGTGTTCAGCGAAACCATGGGCTTCTGGGAAAGCAAGGCACAGTAGCAGTGTGGAAACGGTCACTATGCATGCTTTCTTCTTGTGAGCCAATGTGGTTGAACATATGGTTGAATAATACAGGTTGTATCACTTAATAGCACTATTGCTTTATAACTAAGTGGATTTACTTTGCCGGGGTGGTTATCCGAGTGCAGGAAAATATAATTTTTACTAACAGGATGCAATATATGTTGCAGGACATTTATCTCCATAATCTAAACGTGAAGTGGGATGATATTATTGGACTGGACGCAGCCAAAAGGCTAGTCAAGGAAGCAGTCGTTTATCCCATAAGGGTAAGGCTCAAAATAGATTTGAGAAAACCACTGTTGGGCTTCCTCGCGTTTTCCCTGTAAATACAACGATGTTCTTGAATTCTCACTATTTCTGTGCTTTTGTAGTCAGTTCCTCTTTCATTCAGGGTTTCATTTGATAACGTCATACAGATTCTCCTGTAGGAAAATGGCCTTTCATATTAAAATTGCAACTTTTGGGTACTGTTCTTTGCCACCTCGGCTATATAGAAGGTGCTGGATTTGGCCTATACCATTTCAAAGGAGAATGACTTACAGAAGAGAATAGCAAAGCAGTTGCATTTGAAAAAATAATTTAAAACAGATTTAATCTGGTAAATATAGTATTCTTCTCGGTATTCAGAGTATGTGTTATGTTGGTTTTGTTTGTTTGTTTTCCTCCCTTTGGTTTTCTTAGGTTTTCTGAATGCATTAGAGGCGGTGGGGATAGGGGTTGAAATCCCTTCTATTTCGAATAGATGATACGTTTAATGCCTGAATTACTTTTTTGTTTCCGCAGTACCCACAACTGTTTACAGGCATTCTCTCTCCTTGGAAAGGATTATTGCTGTATGGACCACCAGGTATGAAGAGCTTTATACCATATCCATTTGCTTATCACTACTTCTGTTTTGTCCTACAAATAAGTTATTGGTGCCAATCAAATGTATTAAAGTATCACTAAGAACATGTTCTGTAAGGAGACCGTTTTGGATGATTAAATCTGTCTCTCATTGCTCTCAAACCTGTCCCATTTACCTTTCGCACAATCCTAGACTATTTCTACACCTGAATCTTCCAAAAAACATTACTTATACTAACCATTCAGAGGAGTGAGACTTCATGTTGTATTTCTGTTGTTACTCAGCTTGGACCACGTTAATCAAGTTTGGCTTGACTTGATCTTCTAGAATGTGAATAAATTTGACTCGAACTCACCTTCTGAAGGAAAATGTCCTTGCTTTCTCTTCTGTGTTTAGGGATTGTTTTGGAAATAGGATGGAGCTTCTGTCCTTTGCTGTGCTAGCTGGATGTTTTCCATGTCAGCCCAGCTCATCACTCCCTCTGCTCCACTTGGACGCAAGGAATGAAGCATTGCCACGGCACAAGTGTGGCTCAGAGGGGACAGGGCACAGCCCACAAGTACTGCCTGAGACAGGTTGCAAAGGCTGCCACTGCAGTAAACTCCATGTGCCCTTGTGAATGCTTTGATGTATTTTCCGCAGGACTCTGACCATTTCAGCATGCAGTACTTCGGAACTGGGGGAACACACGTGTCACTGCATTTGCAGTGCTGCATTACCTGAGTTTCTCCAGACCGTCCTGGAAGGACTTCGGTTTCTTTCCGTGCTCATATCTGACGGACTGTAGGAAGAAAGGAATTAATTCAGATATTTGCATTGTATTTCTTTGGAGAGTGAATTTCTTCAATGCTATTGTTTGTAGGTACTGGAAAAACTTTGCTTGCTAAGGCTGTTGCCACTGAATGCAATACAACGTTTTTCAACATATCAGCATCCACTATCGTCAGCAAATGGAGGGGTGATTCAGAAAAACTTGTCCGGGTAAGAACTATCTTTATCATTATACTCTAACAAAAACATCACGTTCCCACTTAAAGAACTAGAATTTTCAGATGAACTGAGCAGAGAACTGGAAAATAGGTATTCCTCCAGTACTCTCTGTCATCTTGGACAAAGCATGTGACTCTATCTATTTCTTAACACTGGAGTAACATCGCTTCTGCAGAAGCATCACGCTGGATTCTTGCAGTGGAAGTTTTGTTCTGTAACGCAAGCTGAAGCAGATATCCCAAAGCCATCAAAGATTTTTTGACCCACTGATAAGGGACAGGCAAGCAGAATGTCTAAATGAAATGGCATTTGCTTAGTGACCCCTTCAAAGTGCTTCACATCCTTTCTGCAAGAGTTGGCTTATAGGTTCCCTAGGAAAATGTACCTATTATGTAAGTTTTCAAATTCGCTACTATTCATAGTCAGTAGGACACGGAATTGGTAAAGAATCCCCTTATCACAATGATCTTACAGTCAAACCCACATATAATGCTGTTTTAAGGTAGGTAGTTTGCTGGCAAGTAGGTAAATGCATTTTTGCACATAGACTGGCAAGTATCTTGCCTGGTTCAGCTGTCGTACAAAAAAAGTCTAGGTCACCGTGCGATGGATTTCAGGCCTAGCATCCTCGTCCTGAGATGCTCCTCCTAATTTCTCAATAATCCCCACCATTTCAGTGTAAGAAATCAATGGGCTTTTAGCCTTCCTTTACACTCATCTGTTAGGATATACTTCAGAAAGATACAAAGCTCTCGAAAATGAGTAATCATGATGGATTGCACTTGGAAAATGGCATGACAAGCATTGTTGGTACTTTAAAATATCCCTTCAAATGTAGGCAATGTCTGTGACATCATTTTTCTTCTTGTGTCCTTTGTCCTTTCAAATGGCATATTTTTCTTCTGACAGAAGATACATTCACTTCCTGTGTTATTGATCCTCCTGGCATCTGTCTCAGTAACTTCCTGGAAGTTTGCCTCCTGTCAGGAGAAGGGATGGGACAGTCTGCTTTGTGTCACAGCACAGTCCAAAAGGGTTTTGTGAACGTGCCGCAGCGTTTGCGTTGACATTGAATCGGTAGTATTTCACCCTTAGTTGAGTTTTGGCGGAATCCAGAAATGAAATAGGATTGTGGCTCTAGACAGCTCTAAGAGAAGTATTCCATGCAGTTATATCCTGAAATGACCTGAGGCTGGTGCGTGGGTCTTCTGAAGTTGTGTGAAGGCTTTTTTCCATTCAGTTCTTAGCTGCATTAGGGTGAATTTATATTTTAAATTTGTAATAAAATTGTAAACGGTGAACTTTCACGTGAGAGCATTGATAACATGAACAAACAAAACTGATATTGTATCAGCAACCATCTTGGAAATAATCTTGCTGCTCAAGTAGCAAGATTATTATATAATCCAGCGTTCTACTTAATCATAAACTTCTGCTACCGCAGACACTACTAGTTACAACACTGATCGTAGACTACTTGTAACTCTAGGCAAATAATATAAATCCTGTACTTCATATACAAAGTGTAGAAAAAGCATGTATACCTTTTTAAATGTGGGGGTTTCAGAGTTCAGGGTAAAAGTGCTGGGTCAATGGATACTGTTAGCTATATTTATTTTGAAAGTCAAATGACACCTCACTGAAGAACAATAGATAATATGTTCTTATTGTTAGTCTGAGTCTCTTCATGTTTACAACAAAAGTAGATAAAACTTCTTTTTTGAAATGGCAGGCCCAGATTTTGTGTCAGCTTAATATTCTTTTTTTTAATCTAGCCCTGATTATTTCAACAGTTTATATTTGTTTTCACCTGGCAAAACAAAAGAACCACTTAATTCTTATCAAGAGAATCAGTCCATTTTCTTTCATTACGGTTCAGTGATTTTTTTTTTTTTCCCCTCAAAGCCTTATTTAAAGAACTACAAATGGAGCAACAAAAAAGAGAAGAAGGATGTTTAATCTCTGATAACAATTTAGGAGTTCCCAGAATCCTCTGATGGATCATTTTCTTCTATCCCATTATTCTCAGGGTACTCTGATAGGATTTAGACAGAAAGATTTACATATAAAGACAGGATTATGTGCCTGTGGTCTTTATCTCTCCTTTGTAAACCCTTCAGAACCTGAGAGGATTCAGGGACCCTCCGCCAACCCTGAGCCGTTTCCCAGCGTATATCCCTTTTTGTCCTAGAAGTTCTGGAACGTGGGTATTGTTACTTATCTTTTGTGTCAGTGGCCCTTAATGCCTTTTTCTGTTAGTTTTCTTTTAATCTGTTCTGTCACTTCTCTCTCCAACAGGTGCTATTCGAGCTTGCCCGGTACCATGCTCCTTCCACAATTTTCTTGGATGAGCTGGAGTCAGTTATGAGTCAAAGAGGTGCTGCTACTGGGTAACCGATGAGACCTCTTCCTATGGCTTTAGGGGAATCGCTGTCCCCTTGTTACTGCATCTTTTCAATAGTGGGTTTGTTCAGCTGCTGATGAATGTTTAATCATGCAGTATACCTGTTAGAAACAGAACTTAGCTAAACTAGAGCCTGAAGCCGCTCTGTAAACTTGTGTTAAGAGCATGATCGGACCCCTGAAAGACCTGTCTCTTTTAGGTTGTATTGACAGTATAATTATTTCGAGTGATAACGGTAATTTTCATGACTTTTTATGAAGCAGTTTTTCTTTTGTCCTGTTGTCAGCCATAGGAGCCTCGCAATGCGTTATTGTCAGAAAGCCTTTCAGCTCTCCAAGTGCTGCTTCATAGCAGCACTGCATACGCTGTGGGGACTTAAGGAGAGAGCGCTGTGGTGGTTCTTTCATTCACAGTAGATGAGATCAGTAGAGAAGAAAGCATGTAAGCCAAGTTACATGAAGGTTAGCAAGGGACTGTGGAAATAATGGATCCAACAAGATTGTGAGCAGGAGAGAGGTGCAAGACTATATAACCAACGGTGTTGTATTTTAAAATAATATATTTGAAGTGAAAGTAAAGGCAGCGAGGAGAAACGATAGATGGCTTGTTAGAGGCAAGTAAGAAGTAGATGATTTTTGTGATGCTTTGGACAGGCCTAGGCATAGCAGGGGGAGATGTGCAGCGGAATCACATTTTCATTAATGGGACAAATTCAGATGGCATTGTCAGGACTTGCAGGAATGGAAGGATATTTTTGCTATCCTTGGTGCAGACAGTTTCCAGTGTACAAAACCGACTGGAAAGGTTGGGCAAGGGAGAGAAACAGGAGAAATATAAAGAAATTGTTATACCCATTAGGAGCTCATAACAGTGAAGTTTATGTAATTGTAAATTAAATGCTCACAAAGATAAATAAATAGAATATGCCATATAGTGAAGCTACAACTGGTGGTTGTAAAGGTCCCCGTGGAGCAGGGCCGGAATTCTTAGCACTTTGCAGGAGAAAGTTCTTAAGTTCCTTTCTTTTTTCTTGGGGAAGGATCCTCTGGGTGTTGTTTCAAGGAGAGCTCTGCCCTATTTTCCAGTTTGTTTCAGTACTGCATATTTTTCTGTCTGCTTCTGATAAAACATTTCGTGATGTATCGAATGCAGCAGGAGGTGTATCTTCTTGTGACCACTTAAAATTCACTCGCAGAAAAGCGCCAGTAGTTGCCCTGAATAGGTAGATGTCTTAATTGTTTAATGCCAACTGTTAACATTATAAAAATTCTCCTACATAGATCAGTCAGAGCTCTTTTCCAGTAAACATCAACTCTGCATAAAGATTAATATGAAGAAAAAAATGAAACTAAACGTATATTTTCTTTGGATTCAGTAATAGTGACCTCTGCTCACTTTAATGCACTGGAATAGTCTATTTAAGTAATCATTAGAAAGCTTGATTTTAATGCTTAGATGTTAGCTAATGGAGCTTAATCATGCTTTGAACCGGGACAAAACTGTGACAAGGGCTCAGTTGCTGTGAATGACACTGTATAAATAAAGATGATTACTTTAATGCACTGAGCAAATAATATTTCTCTGCATCTTGGTAGTGGTGAACATGAAGGAAGTCGGCGGATGAAAACAGAATTACTGGTGCAGATGGATGGCTTGGCCCGATCTGATGATCTTGTATTTGTTTTAGCAGCTTCCAATCTGCCATGGTAAGAGATCCAGAGAGTACATTTTGAATACATTTGCTTGAGCTTCTAAGCACAGATAAAGATTTTATTTAGAATTTTGCAGAAAAAGCCTTGATATTTGGTTAAAGCATTTAAAGATTAATTTGGAGCTTTTACTTTTAAACTCTACAATTCTTGCTATTTGTGCCACAGGACAGTAATCCATAGCAAATTCAACAGATGCTGGTGCTACTAGCTGCTAATATTTAAAATGGAATACTTTACTTCATAGCCAAGTTGTTTACTATGTTTAAGCTAAGAAGGGTTTCAGCCTGGAACTGTAAGGTGCTTAAAACATCCATTGCTTAGAAGGATACTCCATAAATAGGAAGGATGGATTTTTATTGGTATCAAACATGACTTTTAGAAGAGAGAGACAACATTTTTCAGTTTCTTCAACATAATTTAGAATACAAGAATAAGTGGTTTATAATGGGGGCTAAAAAACTTCATGTCAGGTCTCAAAATGGGCAGGATGGGTATCGAGAACAAGACAGTCAGTGCCATTTTGCTGCTGCACAACACCTTGCTGAACCCCCCTGCTGAGGATGGTGAGCGATTCTGGTCACCCTGTCTGAAGAAGGGTGCAGTGGAGATAGAGAAGGTACGGAGGACAGCTAAAGGCAGCTGCCTCGTGAGGAGAGACTAAAAAGATGGGGACCCTTCAGTTTGGAAGGAAGCGGGTTATGTTTAGGTTAACAGAACACAAAATCAGTGAGGAAGCCAAACACCGAATTGTTGTTTTCCAGATTCCACAATACTAGAAGTAAGGGGCATTCACTGAAACTAGCCGAAGATCAGTTTAAATTGAAAAGTAAATATTTGAGCTTCTAGACTTGCCAGCCTTGGGAAGTTGTGGAGACAGGGCAGTATCAGCAGTTCAGAGAGGGATTAGGCAAATTCCTGGACAGCAGTCCAAAAAAGGATGCTGGGAGGACTAACCAGGGATGTAATGTTTGTAGCATAACAATTGTGGATGCTGGGGAAGTAAAACAAATGGCAGAAAATGTCCCGTTCATGTTCTCTTTGAATAGCCTCTCCTTTTGCCACTGTCAGAGACAGCATGTTGGTCTGGCTGGACGACTCTTCTGACCTGGCGTGGTATTTCTTTTCTTTCATACAAGCCATCTTCAAATGTCTGCAAATACGAGATGGAGAAAATAATGGCCTTTGGGCAAGCAGAGTTGTTCTCAGCCGTCTTTGATTTGTACACCACTTACAATTTCCAGGGTAGGAGCCAGTACCTATACGGGGAATTGAAGCATACTGATAATGGGCTTGTCTTTGCAGTTAACTGTCATAGACCTGGAGCTAGTCTGTGGACTCCTGGCTGCCCCTAGATTCTGCCTGCCCCTGGACTACGGATCCATGTAACATCTTTTCTCTACAGAGAAAACTCTGAAAGCAGAGAGGGGGAACATCAGCAAAGCAATTGGTGGAAATCCTCTGTTAATGAGGAACAGTCTTGGGGGCAGATGTCGGCAAGAAAGAGCCAGGTGGTTTGTCCACCATTCTCCTTCCCCTCCTTGGAGTACAACTGAAAGAGAGAATTACAGTGTGTCTGCTGCAGTGGGAATTTGGGGCAGTCTCTCTGAATGGCTAATGTTTTGCAGTCTGCTGCTCATCACAGCATTGAGGTCTTTACTTCCATGGCCTTGAAGGCCTTCAGACCTAAGTGGGTCAAATCACCTCTCCAATGTAGGAGAGGTTGAGCTAGGTGTCTGAAAAGAAGACAACAGTCATGTTTCTAGGGAACTTTGAACCATGGTTTGGGAAACGTTTGGTGGAGCCAAATGGAAGCTCTTGTCTCAGCTCAGCAGCTGTTCACAGGAGTGACCTTGTGTGAGCTGTGGCTCAGCAGCCTTTCAAGTGGCAATACTTGAAATCTGACTGGAGGGCTTGTTTGTTCATGTTACGCTCACCCAGCTCTGCAATGCAAGAACTACAGAGCGGTGGCATCCGAAAGTGGTTGGGAACGAGCAAGGACTCTGTACCCACAAAACTATAGGCTTTGTTTCTGGCTTGTTTTCCTTGATTAGTGTTTCTTTGGCTGATTCTCATGAGGATGCTGTAGGGAGATGTGTTGGAAAAGCCTCTCCATGACCGGAGAGCTCTGGGCTCTGATTGGCAGGCTCTCGCTGGTCTTAGGAAGTGTCTCCAAGTCTGAATGACATGGAGCATGTATCCACAGCTGCTTGCTTTTGAGTATTTGTGAAAAAGCCTCAATCTGCAAATGCATGCACATATAAAAATATATTTTTTATATATATAAAAAATAATATACAAATGCATTTCTCAGTTGTTACATGCTGCTTAATGTTCTCTCACAAAGTCTGTGGCAATACTGTGTTACTCTCCCCAGCTGATCCCCTTTCTGGCAGGCCTGGCTGAAAGGCCAAGGGAACAGGCAAAGAGAATTAAACATTGGAAGTGATTTTGAGACCTCAGAATTGAGATGAAAAGGTAACGTTTTCCATCAAACCCATGTGGCCTATGAGCTTGGCCCATTTCAAAACGTGCTGTGGGCACTGAGACCCCTGAGTCCTTATAGAGACGCAGGAGGACGTGGGTTCCCAAGTCACCTTGGCTCCTGTGGTACGGCACCTCCTGCAGCATGAACAAAGGGGTTTCTTACCTCGGTGCAGCATCTTTCGTAAGCACTGGAGGGTGTTCACATCCTATAATTTTGGCACCTAAAGTAAAAGACAGGTTTCCCCTGCTGTGAGACAGTCAACAGAGAAAGAACAGAGACAGCAATTCGGAGTAATTCAGAGTACCCCAGGGATTGCTACTGGGGCCAGTACTGTTTCGCATCCTCAGCGATGACCTGGCTGATGGGACAGAGTGCACCTTCAGCAGCTTTGAGGGTGATACAAAACTGGGAGGAGTGGTTTATAGACCAGATGGTTGTGCTGCCGTTTAGAAGCAACCTGGAGAAATGGGCCAACAGGAAACTACTAAAGTTCGAGAAAGGGAAATGCTAAGTCCTGAACCTGGAGAGGAATAACCCCAGGCACCAGTACAGCACCAGGGGGCTGACTGGCTGGAAAGCAGCTTTGCAGAGAAGGACCTGTGTGTCCTGGTGGACAACAAGTTGACCGTGAGCTGTCAATGCATCTTTGCGGCAAAAAAGACCAACAGCATCCTGTTTCCTCGTAGAAGCCTCTCTTTACCTCTATGTTTTTGATGTCTGAAGCTCTTTCCTAAAGCAAAAGCCTATGTTTCCCATACAGTCAATGGAGAATGCTTCGGGAAGCCATCAGGCAGACATCGTATCTGCTGAAATTCAAAGGCCAAAGTAGCAACATATTCAAAGGCTTTCATCTGCCTCTCTTCATGACCTATGGAGGGCTTTTCAGGCTCTTTAACTAGGGGAATGAACTGTGTGGGCACCTAAAATTTATGTACAAGTTAGGTGCATGAGTTAGGCCGACTCCTACCCTGTCCTAACAGCAGAAGTACAAAACCATCGCTGGCTTTTATAGCTGTAATAGCAGAATATGCGTGTCAGTTTGGGGGATTTATGCCTTGGACAATCTCATGAATTTAAATCAGTGCAAAATCTACCCTATTTTGTGTTATATTATCTGCGTGAAAGGAACTGAGGAGAATATGCTTTAATTACGCTCCAGTTGCGTAAGAAAATACTGAAAAATAAATAGCTACCCTGTCTGTGAACAGTTAACCCTGAAGGAGAATTAATATATTAATAACCCATTATTTTCTTTATGGTTCATTAGTAATACGCTAGAAAATATTTATGTTATTATAGCATCGTTACCCTTTTATAAAGAGAAACTCTAAGCAATGCATTGCACTTTTTCGTGGTCTCTTGCTTAAATTATCTTCAGAGTAGCTAAGCTCCACAAGTAATGCTGCAACATGACAGTACTAAAAAGGATCAGATGTCTTTAGAGATTCCATGTCTCTCCACTCTTGCATAATGGTTTGAAAGGAAAAATTGGGTATTCCAAACCCACCAAGGCAGCAGCTGGCCTGAAGGTCACAGTCTAGCTGGTGCTTGATCTAGGGATCTTGGAGATGTGTTAATGCAAGTATGAGGCTGACGTTCCTCCGAATGCTTCTGCAGAAAAAGAGATCTCTGAACGTGTCTTCATGTTATGCGTCTGTCTTATGCAGCTGATAAACTTTTCATGGAAAATCATGCTGAAATTACAGAATACGGTTTTGAATGTCTTATACAGTTGATTTTGAATCATTCTGCAATTCCGAAGTGTGCTAATTTCTGCGAATTTGCCTGCTTGAAACATCAAAAAAAATGACACCACTTTTCTAAGGTAGATGCAAAATGACAAGACTTCTATTTTAGAGAAACTGCTCCCACAGGAAGCTGGCAATTGTGTTGGGACGAGGGTGGGAGCTGAGCTGTTGTCAGAGTCCAGCTCTCACTTTTGGAAGTCTTATACTTGAGGGCTTAGACTTTCTTTCTGGAATTTCTCAACATTTTTCATGGGGGTGGTTGGATTTCGCCCTCTCCTAAGCTAGTCCAACCTATGAGTGTCATGACTAGATTGCTGGGCAGAACTGTGCCTAGCACAGAGAATGATGCTCTAAAAATGCAGATGAGTATATACTTAGACACGTATTTTAGGGGGAATGGAAAGCCAATGAAATGCATAAGCATCTTGCATCATCATTGAGGCTCACAGCCTTGAGGAATTTGGGAATGCCTGCCTCTAGAGATGTCAGTGGGGTTTGAACCCCCACCTGATGATCTCAAGTATATGTTTGCTGTTTATTTTCATGTGTATTAGACTACATTGAGACCTACTGTAAGATCCTGGACTTCAGCTGAGTAGGGATATTTTATTGTATTTTATTTTAGATATGTACATATATAAAATAAATCATATATATGTATCATTAAGTTTACGAAATACCTAATACCTAGCTGACTGCTCTGAAGGTTGCGGCTTCACAGCACAACCCTGTGTTCTTTCAAACATTTGGTATTAAGCTAGATTTTAAGAGATTTGTTTAACTTGGATATTTATCGATCATAAAAAAAAGAGTGACAAGCTGCTTTTAGATGAACGAAAAGAAGCCTAAACAAAGCTCTTTATGCTGTCCTAAGCTGCACTGCAACTATTGATTTTCCTTTCCACCCAGTCCTTGCTGCCCAGGCTAGCTTCCTGCTGCTCAGCAGCAAGGCACTTTTTATTGACAAATTACTTGTTGAAATGATTCAACATAATTAAATAAATGTCTCAGTACATTTAACTTTACTCCCATTGCAGTGCTGCTTTCTTCTGCCTCCCCACCCGTCGGGTGGGTGAAGCTTTGTTGCAGGCTGATTTAACTCTTTGCTTCAGTCAGAGCTAAGTCCTGTTGGAGCTGCGGAGTGGATGAACAAGATGGGTTCAGGGTGAGCTGGGCTGCAAAATCCAAACCAGATCTTCTGCTAGTGAACCCTGTCCTTCGCTCTCAGCAGCGTAAGCCTCCCCGCTGCGTACGGTGGAGGAGAGCGAGGAAGGAGAGCGCAATGGTGTGCAAAAGCCCTGGAGGAACAGGAGAGGACGTGGAGTGGAAGCCTTGTCATGTGGGGTCTCCAGGCTGTCCTTGCATGGGAGGACAGGTGCAGGGAAGAGATGAGGAGCTCACTCTTTCTTGGTGCCTCTTCAAAGCGCTGCAGTGATCGTCATACTAGGCAGAGATTAATTTTGGACCCATCTTCTCTTGTTGCTGTGTCTGGGCTCATCTTTGGAATTGTTGTGGCATGTCTCAATTTCTGCCTGAGACATTAGTTACCATTCTTTATTCTGGATATCAAAATCGCTGTCTTGTCTTCATGAAGTTTGGTGGTGACAACATGGCATGATGTCCTGTGATGTCATCCTGGAAGAGCTCTGAAAAGATCCTCTTTTATAGGTCCTGTACAGCTTTATGTGTTCTTTTCGTGAGTTGTTACTTTAGAGAATATTTTTGTTGGCTCAGTCCTTATTCTGTTCTGGATATTGTTGTCATTTAACCTTGCATTTGGTCACTAACAAAACAATTGCAGCAAACAACCTAAACACTCTTAGGCTAACAAAAGTATTATGTCTTTATTTTCCTCCTTAGCCAACAGGTAGGGTCACTGTAACCTTTCTGAATAGATAGAGTAACTTCTATGTATCAGCATACTTATTTACAGAACAAGAATACTTCTTAGCCCTCAATTTCCCTGCTTGCATTTCTGCAAAACTGAAACCCTGTAGCAAGATGAGCAGCTGGAAATACTGCCTGTAAGCCCGATGCCTCTTGGGCAGCGCACTCTTGCAGCGTTAATAGAGGAGGGGGGACAGATATGGTTCTCCGTCCTTCCTGTGCTGGACGCTGCCTGAGAGGCATGGCACTGAGCGTTGCACAGTGTAGCCTCAACGTGAAGGCTCAAGCCCCAGGACTGCTCAGTGCACATCTCTTAAGCAGCCTAAAACTATCCGTGCGCTAACAGCCACTGATGAGCAAATCCTAGTATTTACTTCTGAGTAACAGAAGCTCACGCATGCTGAGGGCTGTGCAGAAAAGCTACGTAGGCACTTACCTGTGGATTTGGGAGCCTGTTTTGGGTTTCTTTATCGTGTTCTATGTCAGTAGAAAATGTTTGCTGTTAAAAAAAAAAAAAAAAATAAGGGCAAGTCACCAGAAGTGGCAGAAGTCAGCTCTCTTGGTGTGCTACAGATCTGTCCTGAGTTGGCAGTTGGAGCTCCCTGTAAACGGAAGAGGAGTTTCTTACAGATAGAAGGTTTTAGTCCTCGCCGGCTGCAGAATTTTACTTTGATGGCAGCATTGCCATCGGGGAAAACGCATTTCTTACATGTTCATTTTCCTGACACAAGGATTTCACCCAAGGAATCAGGAAAGGTTGAGTCAGGTTTATTTAAGTGAACCTTCAGTCCCAAACTCCTGGCACAAGCCTCCAACAGCTGGCTATTCCTGCTCAGTTGACAAGGGTGGAAACGGTCCCCCTCTTTCACCTGTCTTAGGGTTCCTGTTTTTCTCTGTCTGCACATGACACGTTTTAGTGAGTTTCCCCTTTATGAGAGTTTCTCTGCGGGTATGAGGACTGAACTCTTATTTTAAACTGAAATAACAGATCTAAGACTGAATGGGGCCAGTAGAGAAAGACTGGTACAGCCCTCGAGGCGGTAATAGCTCAGAGCAGCTCCCAGAAGGCACTGGAGACTTAAGAGTGAGAAAATATATTGTAGCAGCTATTTCTTCTTGAAAATGGTACGGATGACTGAGGTACTTGTAGATGATTTCCATTGCACAAGTAACAAGAGAGGAACTGGAGTAGGAATTGGTATTCAGTTGTTCGGTTTTGTTGCCATTAGATAGAAACAACAACTGCAAAGCACTTTGGAGAAAAGTAGATTAAAATGAATAGTTGGGATGCACGTTTGAGAGTTGCTGGCATGCAAGGCGTACCAGGATTCCTGAAATTTGACTCTGTAGCACTAGCAGGAAGTTGTGAAATGTATTAAGAGAGGAAGAGAGAGAAATGATCATTTTTAATTCAGGCTTCCTTTATGCAGCACAAGCAAGTGAAAACAGGCCCTTTATATTTTATAGTATATTTATATACTTTTTTTAGGCAGAACACCTTTATCAGCGCTGATGTTGTCAGACATTTCGGCACTGGCACGTTTTTGCAGCCTCTCCATCTTTCACACAATCGTTTTTATAGGATACTTCCCTTTGTGGCTGTATATTTTATTAGTAGTATTATTTCAGGAGCTGTCTCAGATCGAGATCCTGTGCTGCCACGTGCTGTACAAACACAACACAAATGTGGCCCCACATCCGAGACCTTCAGTCTCTACTTTATAGCTACTAAACGTCCCTTACAAAGCAACAATTAATCAATCATCACAGCGTCCAAGACAGATGATTTCTAGTGTCTCCTCAATAGCAAAGGGAGAAATTGAAAGGTTATTACTGAAAGGGGACATGCCACAAGTGAGTACAAGAGCCAGGGAAGCTGACTAAAACTTCTGTCTGTTACGGTTAAGCCTCATTGTCGCAAGCCAGAGTATCGCTAACATGGTGAACAGGAATACACAGGATAATTAATCCTTTCTTTTCAAAACTAGGTTGACACAGTTACAGGTGGGGTTGCAAAATGTCGGTCGCTGCAGCAAGGAGCTTGCTGTCGAAGTCACGTCTCCAGGAAGCGATGGGCTGAGATGTTTCCTCTCCTTCGTTGCTTGCAGGGAGTTAGATTCTGCCATGCTGCGGCGCCTGGAGAAGAGGATTTTGGTCGACCTCCCCAGCAAAGAGGCACGGCAGGCAATGATTCAGCACTGGCTGCCCCCGCTGAGCAACAGCGGAGGAGTAGAGCTGCGAACAGATCTGGACTACGGCTTATTGGGCCAGGTGAGGCAGGACTGAAGCAGGTACAAGTCCCTACTGACCCCTCAGGTGCATGCGGTCTTCAGAGGGGGAGCTGTAGGTGAGGGTGACGTACACCAGCGGTGGGAGCATGTCGTGGTAGGAGAGGTGTGAGGCAGAGAGAGTTGGGACCGCACCTCTCTCCATTCAGCAATTGCTATGTACAGAGCTGGGAGGAAGGACCGTAGCTCAGCTGGAGGCTCCAGCCAAAGGGAGACCAGGGAGACACGGTGCCGAGCGTTTTGCAGGCACGTACCTGGCCATGGAAACCGCTGGTTTCACACAGCTTTGCTTGCGAGATGGTATGTTCTGATCCCCTCTGCTGGGCCAACTTTTCAGCCTTAAATACAAGGAGATTTACAGCAGTAGTATATACTACCACTCTTCGTCCCATCAGGCTGGGCGCGCTCCCAGTTCACTGGGGTAACGTACTGTTAATTGCATAGGGAAAGTTTGTGACAGCTCCAGTGCTGCAGGAGAAAAGAGCGCTTCAGCGATGAAGAGATTCACTTGGATATCAGGCTCCAGAGACTTTCTTCAAACCCTAAATTTAGCCTTTGTCACATCCTAAACTCTTTAAAAATAACTTACAACTAACAAGGGCCAGTTGACCCTTTTTCATTTCTGTTCACAGAGACAATGCTGCTCAGATTTTGTTTCATAAATTTTAGAAAAGAAATGCTTATTTTATAAACAGGCAAGTTGGGAAACAGACACAGGTGAGTTTTATTCTACCTGTGGAAAAGTGCCTTAAGAAAACGTCTGATGTTTTGCTTGCTATTACAAGGTACCGTGAGCATTCAAACCAAGAACGAGCAATGTGATGGTTGACGTGTGTGTGTCTGTGTATATATATACATATGTGTGTGTGTGTATACATTCATGTGTATGCATGTGTGTATTTCAGAAAGGAATGGAATTTACAAACATATATATAAAGACACAGAAAAATACATATGCTTTTGAATTCCATTCCTGTCTCATTTGTAAGCCTGTGAGCTGTAATGTATCACTCTGATCTTGTCTTAGGAAACAGATGGCTACTCTGGCTCAGACATTAAACTGGTGTGCAAGGAAGCAGCTATGAGGCCAGTGAGAAAAATTTTCAACGCTCTTGAAAATTATCAGCCAGGTACCACAGCTCTCATTAGAGAATCCTGTATGGGAAATGTTGATCCACTACTGTAACACTAGAAATTATGTTAACCCCAGCAGGTGGAGCTCTGTTATCTGCTTAGAACAGTTTTAAACTCTACGTTTCTCAAGAAAAAAAAAAAAAATCCATGTAAGCCAACAGTTCTGAAAACTAGGCCTTTTTTTTAAACTGGCAGTCTCTGTGCACAAATACAAATTTTTCTCTTTCTCACTAGGTCAGTGCTGTTGTTTTTGTAGATGAAGTATGTTGCATTGTGCATACACTTAAAAGAATGTTTTTCAGTAGTAATTACAGTATTTCAAGATTTTTCTTCTCTTTAGGTAACAGTAACTTACCCGTGATCCGACTGGACACGATCACAACAGCAGATTTCCTGGATGTGATCGCCCACACCAAGCCATCAGCAAAGAACCTGAGCCAGAAGTACACGGCCTGGCAGAGAGAATTTGAGTCAGTTTGAAAAGACAAACATCAAAAACTTCAAAGACTTTTGCCATCCAAAATGGCATTTTCATTGCCTCCAAAGGATTTGAATGGTGACAGAGAAGGAAGTGCTGCTGTTTTCAGGAAGGTGAATGCAATGAGAAATGTGAGGGGGAAATCTATACTTTCAGAATTGTAAAGGGGGGAATTTTTTTTTTTTTTGAAAATGGCTAGTTTAAATTACCATTCTAAAATATTCTTCGTGGAAGTAATGTAATGGCAGAATGGCAGCTGCTATATAATGGATACTCCACCATTAATTTTATGATAAAGACTTATAAACTGATTGTTTTTCAGTCTTTATTCATTACAGCTGTTTTCAGGTTTGGGGGGAGGACTGGAGCAGAAAACTTGTCAAGAAGTTAGATGTTCAGCCTAATTCTTCCGCTCTGAGACTCACTTAAGCATCACAATCAGTGTAGCTTTACCAGCAGAGACCTGCGTAGTTCTTAAAGAAACATGACTATTTTCAATGAAAGAATAAATTCAGGACCTTATTCGTGTCTTGTAAATTTGGTTGCTGCTGTTTTGATCTGAGATAAAAGCCTTAATGTGCTATATCTATTACTCGCCAGTTGGTTTTGGGCATTCCCAAAGTGGAAACAGCAAGCTATCAGAGAAATTTGATAATATTGTGGAAAATTGGCCTAATCTATGCTAATCAGCTAGAAACTGGCTGGATGGTTATTCACTAGTTTACAGCCAGCCATAAAAGGTAAACAGCAAGTCCTTGTAGTGCAGTGGTAAATAAGAGCCAATTTGGAGACCTTTCTACTCATAAACAAACATGGCGAAGTAACCAGTTAGAAGGACTGCCATGCGTCCTTTGAGCAATGTTTTTTATTAGACTCCATATGCTAGAACAAAAAGAGACTGAGCATCCCACACTTTCAGAAGTCTTTGTGGGATATTTCTTCACAGGAGTTTCCCATACATCCATCACCTCCTTGACCCAACTCTGAAGGGAGACCAAAGGCCTCCCTTATGCATCACGAGCAGAGAACAACCCAGCTTCAGCATTGCTGGCATAAGCACTAGACGTGTGAATTTATTCAAAACTGCAGGTTACAACTTCTTAGGGCACCTAAAATAAGGCCTTCAACTACCACATATATTTTTTTTTCACCTTGTACAGTTGGCAAAGACGTTAGTCTCTTGATTCCATTTTCTCGTTGTTGGTGTTTGTGTGTGTAACAGCAGCTTCAAGTTCCTAAATCCTGCCGAGAGGGGTGTGCAGCACACTTCTAACACAGATGATGTTCACTTTATTGTTACACATGTAATAGTGCTAAGCACTTATTTTACAGAATATAACACAAACAGTATCTGAAGATGGCCCTTAGGTCCAGGGGTTTCCGTTGTTTCTTGCATTTCTACTCAGTGCACACTTTTTGTCACTGACAGAGATTAAGTGTAGGTAACTACCCACCCAACGAGATTATAGATCGACTCTCTTTCATTTACAGAGAGCGTCCCACTCATTCATCGTGATGGTTTTCCTTAACAAGAATCAGCATGGCTCATTAACACAAAACTATATTTTCAATAAGGTTAATACTGCAGCAGTGTATAATTACAGTCTAATAATTTAACACTCAGGAGCACTGTAAAACAAATGTAAAGAACTTTGATTATTACAGTTTGCAAATGGACCAGAAAAGCTATTTACTATCATTACAAAGTTGGTTGATATCGGTGTTATTTAACACATGTAGGAAAAGCAATGCATACTACAGAATTAAATTTCATTTTATAGTGCTACTAACCAACTGTGTAAAAATGCAAATCTGTCCCCATGGCTTATAAAGAATTTTTCCCATAACATTAGAAAGAAAACAAAAAAAACCCCCAACAATAGTGAAATTTTGCAACTGTAGTATTAATAGGACCCTGCTGAAGTCTAACTTCAAACGTTCACAGTCTCTAAGCCATTTAATACCAGATTTTTGTTTGTGTACCGTTTATTTGTTTTAATAACAGCATCTAGTTGAACCATCTGAAAATTATTTAAGTTTTAATTCCACACAAAATTTGAAAAACAAAAACCAGTGTCTCTTTTAATGAGAAGAAAAACATCAACAGTAGTTATTACTAGTAATGGTGATATTTTAATTTAAAAGTCACTCCCAGACTGGCATAATCTCTACCTTTAAATTACAGCAGAGCTGAGACATACTCAGTGAAAACAAATGCACAGACTGGGCATAGCTGTTATCACTACAGGCTGACTAGGGCTCCGTTAGTCTTTGTGCTTTGTTACTTGTGTATTTCCAGTGGGTTTTACAGCTTAGTTAGTTTGGCACAGGAACCTGAAGCTTTTTAGACAGGGCTTGTGATCAGTTATTTCTTGAAAGCTGAAAACAACCATAAGTCTGTGCCACGTTCCCTAATCATTCATGAACATAGGCTGTATTGGTTAGAGCCTTCCCGGTGCTGTCTAACCTGCTGAGTACCTGAGGTCTCTAATCACATCCTCATGCGATCACTGCAGGAAAGTGGCTTTGCTGCGACTGTCCTGGGGCCACACACCAGTCCGCTTTCCGCACGGCTAAGCTTTCAGCTGCATGCATTGATCCTATGGCCTTTATTTTTGAAGCAAGAATAACGGAAATTATGTGAAACAGAAGTTTCTTCTAACTGACTACTCCCTGTCTCACAGCAGATGCTCTAGGATATGTTCCACGGCCTCTGGGAAATTCTCACAGGTTAAGTAAGGAGCCGGATTGATTTTGTCTTCATCTGCTGGTCGATATTTACCTGTAACAGATGAACAAAAGGGTGCATTAATAAAGCTGCTTTGGGTGACCTGTCAGCTTGAGGTTTTTTTCCCCCTAGACTAGAGCATCCTAGGACCGGAAAAAGCCAGACATGGTAGGCCAGATAGCCATCTGGCATGCTCTTAGAACAGATATCTCACAGGTCTTTCCTAAACAAACACTTGAGACTTACTGAAAAATGCTCCAGGAGAGGCTCTGACTCAAAAGTAACATTACTTATGCACTGTTTTGAATCTGTGGTACCGCAATGACACTGTTCTCCCACTAACTATTGAGATATTTGGGTTGTAGGGTCTTGAAATAACAGTTACATCTCCCCTTCTGGTTTTGTAAGAAGAGTAGGATTACTTGCTTTCATTTTGAGGGTAGTGGACTGTGTAGCATGAACAGTTGCTACCTCAGAAAGACCTTACCAGTATATGGCGTTACCACAATATCAATAAAGTTGAGAGTGATTGTCAGGCCCTTAAGGTTCCACTTTTGTTTGAAGCAAAATGGTGTACATCGTTATCAGTGTAATTACAAGGGAATGTCATCAAGAGTTTCCGAATGGTCAGAGGTTACATCAACACGACTGAACTAGGTAATCTAAGATATCACGTTTTAGATAAGTACCAGTTCTCTATGTTCTTTGCCTAATGCTCGTATTTTAGTCATTGTAAAATTCAAATCTACAAGATCAGCCACCCCCATCTATTACTTCATATCAGCCTGCTATCAGTTAGGAGTCTGTGCTCTAAACCTGTTGTTCAGACATTAAGTCCAACCTATGGCCTACCTTGACTTAGTCACAATCTACTGTCTGACAGGCTGCCAAGCTGCAGCTGAGGAAATCTACCTGCTGAATGAATCCCAAAATGAGCTGCCCCATAACGATGCACTCAGGGTCGCCCAGCAGCCCCTGGGTGTACCAAACTGCAGGAATGGCAGGCGTCTGCAGACGACCGGGGCTTGCCCTTGGGCTCAGAGCGTACTGAGCCCAGCCACGCGGGCTGTCAGTACCCAGGGCATGATGAGCGCACCACTGTCTCCTGAAAGGACCGATCCACCCAGTACTTACCGGTCCTCACTAAAATCCCACGCATGCCAGCGTTCTGGGCTCCTCCAACATCATCCCTGCAGTCCTGGGACAGAAGAGGAGATTGATCAGTGGCCACAGTCATAACTCGTTACCGAGTGCTTTATAGCGTCCTCTGCCTTGCATGTCACCAATGAACCAGTTAAAAACAACTATACTGAGTCAATCCTTCAGTTACCTGTTGGACAAATTATCACAGGAATGATTTCCTAGGTGTTTTTTGCCTGACCAAATAGCAAGACCTAACCTGCGTGGGACTGGAGCTGCCAAGTCACTGGGAGATTCTAGAAAGGACGGTGGAGACATCAGAAGGCACCTCCCGTCAGCAGAATTCCCATACCCTCGGGCAGGATATTTAGGGCTGCTCCAGCACCCACTCAAGTCAGAGAGCCGAGCCCAGGGGCTACACTCAGTCCTGCAAGTTTTGATGCTTCAGTTTTCACCCCTCGCTAACTCCCAGCGCTTTTGGAAAGATCACTTTCGTGTGGCGTTTGGGAGGCACCTGTACCCGGTGGAGAAGAGCACTAGGTGAGCAGGCAGGCGGTAAGGTATTCAGTCCCCACATACATCACCAATCATGAGGGCCTCCTCTGGGGCACAGTCAGTCCCTCGTAAAGCTTCCAGGAAGAAAGTTTTCTCTGGTTTCCCCACCACTGTAGCTTTGGTGTCTGTTGCGTATTCCAGTCCAGTTACAAAAGGCCCAGGTCCCAGAGCCAAGCCATTCTTTTTCTTGAAATACCTGGCTTTATGTATAGCTATAAGAGGAGCACCATCCAATATCAACCTAGGGAACCAATGAAGAAGAAAATACATAATTATATGAAAGGTATTTACAGCTGAAGGCCTGATCTTGCTTTCATTTACATTGATGACAAGAATCCAACTGAGGTTCATTTATTTGGAGAGTTAAATAAAGTTCCTGCCTTTCTTCTCCCCAGAAACAGCTAATAAAACAAATCCCCAAAATAAAGAAACTACTATCTCGAGGATTTGAGCAGTTAAGGTTTTTTTAAACTCCTTTCTATATCTCTAGTGCAATGAGGTTCATTTTTCTGAGCATCCCTGCTCTTCAAAGCCTAACATCCCCTCATTAGAGCCGATCTGATTTCCCCATAAAAAATATTTTAAAATACATTAACCATAAACAGTGGCTGTAGGTAGCAGCTTGACTGCCACAGCCTTAATTTCCTGTTAATCTCCCTGCCTTGACTGAAAACACAGCAGTGCTTTCAAAAAATTGCTGCAGCCAGGAAATCTGCAGCCCGGGTTGTTAGCAGGGCAGCTCCTGGGGCTCTTTGTATCACCTGTAACAGCCAAATGATTCAAGAGCTATACGCTTCCAGCAGGGATGGGTGTTTAGGTGAATCCCAAGTGGAAGCTGAATCATTAAACCTTGACTTTGTATTTTAACGTTGAAGGAGTAACAGATTACCTGAAAAAAAAAAAAAAAAATCAAAAAGAAAGGGCACATTCCTGCCGCACCGAATCCCCCAGTTAGCAGTGCTATAACCGTTCCTTTTAGAAACGGAGCTGGGTTTGGTCTTCTTGCTATAGGGAACCACAAATTCCCAAAGGGAGATCGTTCAGAGCAACAAATCACAAGATTCCTAACGCTTCTGAGCGGAATAAAAGGGTCAAATAATAAGGACCATAATGCACGGCACGACAGCACGGCACCAAGGGTTTTGGCCGGGCACGGCACCTGGGAGGCTCAGAAAGGGAGGGCAGCAGTGGCCTGATGGACTAGGAACGACAGCAGAGATCCTGCCGCTTCCCACGGGCCCATTTCTGCCCTGACACACCAGCAGGTATACTCTCCTCGGGTTTTCACAGGTTTAAAGATAAATAAAAGGTGTCTTTTATTCCTCCCCGACAGCTGGCCTATGCATTTAAAAAGCCCGTACAGAATACAGGATTGTCTGGAATGGGTGGAAAATTGTAAGGGAAGGAATAATTAAGAAACTACTGTTACTCCACCAATTGCAATCAGCTCCGTATTAGCCTGTGCTACCCTATCAGCCCTGTAAATTCACTTCATATCTGCTTTTACAGATTAAGAGGGCTTACTTTCACAGAATTTGGGCCTAATCCACCAGTCCCCATCTCTGATTCTTCCAGTTCTCTGTCACCTGCCTGGTAGTTTCTCTGCACAGTGGACCTAGATGCTACCCCTGTCCTGTAGCAAAAGGAAGTCTGTGTATCAGCTCTGCTGGATGAATCTTCCTGGTACTACCAAGCTCAGCAAAGTTACAGCAGTCCTCCCCCATCCCCAGCCTCGGTTTCAGCGCAATAAAAGCCCTCTAGATAGCATCCATAAAAGCCGAGGTTCTCTGCCAAACACTTCCCGTCTGATTTTACGGCACCTTCTTCAGGTCCTGCGGGCAGCTCCAGTCTTTATCACAACAGGTAGAAATGTAACTAGCACAGTGGAAACGGCAAAGCTGGGGGACAGAAGGGAACCGCTGGCACTTATCTTGAAAGCAGAAAGGATTACTTCTCCCTTTAACTCTTTGTTTTACAAAAAAAAGCCTTTAAGAAAACAAACAAAATTTTGCTTTGCCCCTTTACAGCCTTCCTGGAGCTCTGCTGCGCCTCTGTTCGAAGAGGCTGGCTTAGGTTAGTTGTATGCTCCTTGGAGAACGTCTCTTCTTTCCCACACGCTTGCAGAGCAACTTGGGTACTTTGAGCAATGCCTAAATGATAATATTTCATTTCACTTAATTATCACAAAACACTTGTACTGAATCAATGCATTCCAAAGCCAGCTCAACAAGAACCGAGCTGGCGTGCGTTATCTGTGAGCAGCTAGCTATGTTCACAGTGGGAGGACGCCTCTAGGATACAGAAAAATTTAATTTGACAGTGGCACCACAACCGCTTAGGCTCAGTTTACAGGAAGGATCTCACCTGAGGGAATTCTTCTAAACGTGGCATCCCAATCCTGTGTATACAAAAAGGGAAATTTATTCCCAGGCATTTCAAATGGCGCCTCGAGAATGGCCTTTCTTTGTGTACTACGTTTTGGGACTCATACTGGGTTAGATTTCTCTAATGTTGGATGTCAACAGAGTAGTTGCCTACCAGGCAGTTAGTCAGCCTGGGCTCTTCACAGTCAGTGAAGAGGAAAAAGCACTTCTAGGGCACAGTCCATCTGTCCTATTTTAAGCATTGCTAGGGGAAAAACGAATGGTGCCTTACAAGTGCCTCCTCTGTCCCAGGTCACTAGCTCAGATACAGGCATCTGCATTCAATCAGAGTCACCTCGATGCTTCGCTGTGAGCGATGCAAATCCCAAGTGAGTTAGTTTTCTGAGCAGTAAAGGATAGCGGCCTAAGGCTCAAAGAAAAGAATGGGTCAGTAGTTAAACATTTCCTCCAGACCAAACAGAAGTGGCACAAGCAGAACAGAAGTTTATCCCCCAAGAGAAGACTAGGGGAAAAACCCCAGAACAAGTCAGTGAGATATTAAAAATCGACTAGAGCACTTGCTAGGGCCTCTGGACAGCTTGAATGGCAGGACCAGGACAAACACTGGGCAAAACCAGGAAGCATTCAGGGAGGATGAAATCCTCCTCCAGGTAGAAGAGTCAGCCAAGAGGCCGCGAATGCGTCCATCACGAGGCAAGGAGAGCTGAAGGATTCGGGCTTGCTCAGCATATGCTCCACACTTGAATCCAGGTCTCTCTTGTGCAGCAAGGGCAGCTCAGGCCCACCGCCAGCTGCAGCAGCATGGACCACGTTTGCCCTTCAGCATCTTCCTTCTGTTGTCAGACCAAATGTCCAATTCTGTGTTTAATGCAACAAGCCCAAATCCAGCCTGGGACAACCTCCCTCACTTCCACAGGACCCGTTCTGCAGGCTTTCTCGTGTTCTCTGGCCTGACGAAGCCCGGGGCTCTCGATCACTCCAAACATAATATGACTAGTTTCTGGCTTTAAACGTCCAGGTCTCCAGCCCGAGGCCGCTAATGACTATTGTTCAACTGCTAATATATTCATGACCGAAATATCAATAAACAAAATGAAGCAAGGACTGGAAGAGAGGATGGGATAACTTTGTGCGATTGTGAAATTAAGAGTGCACTCATGAATCCACTGTAAAACTCTAAAATCAATGCCACTGGCAACATGCACTAATGATGCAGCCAGAAAGTCAGTCTGGGTCTACACATGTTTTTATGACATAGAACTGGCTTGCAGATAAGGACAGCATTGGCTTGCTACTGCAAGTAGCCTCCACAAGCTACCGGTGCACAGAAATTGGTAGCTCCTCTTCAGATTTAGTGCCTATAAAGACGGATTAAGATGCTCGAGACCAAATTTTTTTCCAATTCTAAGGTGAAAAATTATGCAGTGGCAGCCAACCCGGGAGCAGAGAGCAGAAAGGATTCATCGTATGTATTGTAACACAGCAAGGAGTTAACTGGGAAGGATATTACCAGATAATCCTCTTTAGTTCTGAGATAGCACTGGAAGCCTGTTACCAACTGCCAGCACGGGTTAGTGCTCCTGCAGCCGAGGTAGGTTGTGTGACCGCTCCCCCTTTCTCAAGGCCAGGTCAATCAGCTTGGCCTAAACCACTGTTGAAGGACAGCAGCTTCAAAGGGCTTCCCGTGACAACAGCAGCACGATACTGAGAAACAGCAGACTGTGCTGGGGTGCAGGGGAGGGGGCTTTTTCAAGCTACCCTTCTCTGTGTGTGTTTCGCAATGGACAAAAGGCAAAACACCGGGAGATGAGGGCTAAACTCAGTAACAGACTCATGTTCAAGTCTCTCCAAGCTAAAATCTTTTTCTAGTTAAAAGTCAAGACCAGTACGTTGAGTAGAACCTAGAACTGGACAGAACAGTGCATGGCTATGCAGCTCTGCACACATTATTGCAACCTGGCTCAGTCGCGGACACCTTTTATCCGACTTATCACTTATACAATATACAGTCAAAACTACCAACCTGAGTGATAAAAGGGACTGGATCAGATCCACAGTTCAGCTAACCCAGCATATTGTGGTGGCCACTGCTGAAAACAGGTTATTTCAAAAGAAATGACTAGAAATCCTGCATTAGGCAGATAGGGAATAATCTGCCCTCAATACGGGATTTCCTTCTAGCCCCTGTAAGATTTGGGCTCTGAAGACTGAGGTTTTGAACAGAGAGGCCTTCTCCCTAATACTTCTCAACATCCTTGCTTCTGTGTAAGCATCTCCTCTTGAAACGTTACTATCCTTTTCAGCTCAGTGTTTTAATTTTGTAATGTTTGGAATTGTTTTGTTAATGCTGTAATTAAGTTTATTTACAGACTGAAACCTATGAAACCCAGGGCTGGACTGCCTGCAGCTCATGCTTAAAGCCCCCACCTCCACAAAGGTTAGCGGTTCTCTCTCAGATATGGAAGACGACACCGTAATCCTCACTACATAACTGTGATATTGTTACCACCCTCTTCTCTCCGTATGGGAAGGAATTCCTCTCACACATGGGGATACAGAGCCCAGCATGAGACAACCACCACTCAAAAAACAACGAGGAGAGATGGACTTACCGAAACGCCCTATTCATCATCTCATAGTTAAAGCGCTCAGGAGCCAGTCCTACTACCACTGCATTGGGGTCATCGGTGGCTATCCCTGGAAAATCAAGAACAGTACCACAAATTATTCTGAGTAAACTGACTTTTCTTCATACCTAGTAATACAGTCAGCTTTTTGCATGGCCGAGTGATCCCCCAACTATCCATACCACCCAAGCAGACACATTTGTTACAGCATGTCTACTAAGAACATGGGTCTGTAGCTACACCTCAGCCTGCCCCTTTTCACAGGAACTCGTTGCTAACTGACTGTGTTCAGACCCTTTTCATAGTGGTCAGCACTGACCAATTCCCAAGTGCACCTACCCAATCAAGAGCAGCTGACGGAAGAGTGCTGCATTTCCCCAGCAGCAGGTAGGACTAGATCTGTTAACTGACACGTTTCAGTTACCATCTTCCATGGAGTGAAAGGAAGTGTCAGTTCTTGACTTTCACCAGGAGTAAAATCTTCTGTGGTTTAAACCAACCCGATCTCTGTCATTTACCAAGTTAGGCAACACGTGTGATTAATCACTTGACAACAAAAATTAGAATTGTCTGACACGGACAAATCATTTAGACGAGTTACACGTCCGTTAGAAATAAGGAAAGCCTCACTGGAGGTGTTGGTCCATCCAGACTCTGGAACCCTCCAGGAAGCACGCAACTCTGCGTCTGTGTAGTCTAACAACCATTCTCCCGCTGGCTCCACTGAAATTCAGCACCTTTTCCTTTTTTTAAATTAAATGACTTTTCATTATCTGAGAATCTCTCTCTGCATATATCAGTTTGCTTTGTTAAGATACTAAAGCAGGAGCATTAAAGAATTTCATCCAGTTTTCCAATTCCTTCCGGTCACAGAAAACTCCACTTAGGGTGGAAAGCCTGACTGTTGTTCTACATAGCAGTCTGCTTATGATGGCAAAGATGGTCTTGCTGCATGACCTAGAAGTTGTTACACTAGGTTACTTTTGGCTGTTTAGGAAGGCTTTTTTTTAAATGTGGATTAGTTCCCTCACGAACAGCTTACATCTCCTTTGTCCTGCACTGTTCTGGAGGAGCATGACTGTCTTCAGACGGCAGCGTCACCTCTGAAGGAACTATATATGGCCCTGTAACGGCTGTGAAGAACAGGACCACGGCACAGAACCAGCAATGGAGGCAGAGTAGCATCTACAGGAGAAACAAGAGTACCAGGGAAATTTGTTTTCAATAGGTTAAGTAACAGCTGCACTCTGCACTTGCCGGAGTTGTTCTTCTGCCTTCAGGCAGCACATACTCTACATCTTGACTGGGACAACTAAGAGCTGCTGCGTCTCCAGAGAGCGTCAATGCAGACCACTGGCTGATGTCTGATGCTGTGTGTCCTCCAGTTAGCACAGACAGCAAAAAGCAGCACTCAGAGATGCCACGTGGATTTGTGACACCACCCGAAAGCATCTGGGTCCATTAACCAAGAATGGATTACATTCATCCATCTGTGACCAATTTTATACACAGATTATCCAAGAATAATTCAATAGCAGTCACTAACAGAGATTTAAGATGTCCCCCATTGTACTTAAACGCTTCTGCAGCGGTCCTGAGAGAACATGAGCCAAACCGCTTGTAGATAAAAGAAAAGGCAACAAAGCAATGCCCGCCAGATTCAGGCTACACACAAAATGCCACCAATTTACTCTGCTGGTATCTCTATCTTTGCCTTATACAACATTAGCATCAGCTACTGTTAAACTGACGCAAAGATCCCAAACACATAGAGATGTAACTGATTTATCTACCTCAGGAGCATTCAGCTGCTGTCTCTGACCCAAGAAAGCCTTCCGGCGAACACAAATACGGACTCTGTTGCTGGGAGCACGTTTCTCCAGATACAGTGTTAGGTGGTGGAACAGATTATCAGATTTCATTGCTCTCATAGCCCATAGAAGCTTTCCCCCTGCACACTCATCTTTCACATTACTGAATAGACCACGGCACTACAAGTTGACAGAAAATGCCTAGCTCCTAGCAAGATTAGAACCTACTTAAATTATACAGCAGTAAGAATTTAAATTTATAAGGCAGGGAGCAGTGGCAAATCATCCACATTTTCACTGCCCTGAGTTTAGATGAAAGACTATTCACATTTCAATAGAATATTTTCAACTCCAAGTAAGCTAAGAACATGGGTGTCTCCACTCTTCTTCAAATAAAGATATGAGATAAGTCAAGGACTAACTGTCCTAACTTTAGGCACCTGCCTGAGGTGTCCAAGTTAGAATATACCAGCTTAGGCTCCTCTTATTGCTGAGAGAGAGAGACAGGCACATCTGAAACTGAAGCAGGTGTTAACCAGGTCTCTAGAGATGACAATCTAGAGAAATAAGGGAGATAAAGCTTCTATCACCCAATTAGATAATAAAAGTACATGGAATGAGACCTAATTGTTCAATAATTCAAGCTAAACAGTAACTACCTGAGGATTTCACATTTAATAGTCATCTATTAAGAGAGAAATAGCTTCCTGTGTCTCTACACGGAGATTTTTCAGCAATTTGTGTCACTGCTGACCTAGCAATAAGCATGGGACACTTTGATCACTTTGTCATCTAACTTTGTCTAAGAAAGATCTTCACGAGCCAGCAGGACAAGAGGTGCTGCAGCAGCACCGGACCAACAACAGCTGGGAGAATTGCTTGGAAGTACTAGTTCTACATGGACACGATCTCTGTACAATAGCAGAGGAAATTTTCCGATTTCCAACCCATTGACACATTCTGGCTATAAAGCATATAAATATTGGTAAGTGGAATAACTCTCCAATGATCTAGTGATAAATATTACTTTCTACACTGGAAATGAATAAAAAGTATTGAGTTTTATCTGAATTCCTGCCCATTTGAAGTTTTTGGCTGCCATTCCCACTACTCCTCAAGCAGCTATGACAATCACGGCTTTAGATTGTTTAACGTTCTATTTAAAGGAATAAAGAATTGTTACGATTCTAGAGAGTTCCATGTTTTAGGCTTTCATCACAGCTAGCGGTAGTCTAGCGAAATTGCTATAGACTATGAAACAGAATATAGGCTACATGTCGTGCATTCAGGATGTAGCATAGTTCACAGTGTTGCAATTTGATTAGAATCTGCAGAACACCACCCTGCAGTTGCGTGTTCCTGCTGCTTTTCTCCCCCCTCCCTTTTTCTTTTTCTCCCCTTCCGAGAGGACACAAGCTCTTCTTGTTTAACCCTTGCACTATGTACAGGCCTGGCAGAAAAAGAATTCTGCTTTATGCAGGAGAATACAAGTGCACCTGAAGGCTCAATCTTGCTACACAGGACCACTTCAGTCCAGAGCACATCATAGACGTCCCTTGCCTAGAACTTAACATGCTATCGCACTCTGCCCTAAGTTTTCTGACAACCGTAGAACATGCTAGCCCCTGCCCGGGGTAGTAGAGGCTAGTGACATGTCACCAAAGGTACTGTTTACAACCAGTTTATCACAGTGAGACGCAGTGGACTCTTTTAACTCTTGAGAAGAAAGAGCAACGCTTTACATGCTCATTGTGCTACAAAAGGGAGAGCGTAATGTTTCCTTAGCTAGTGGTTCAACAACCTTCCCTCGTGCTCTTCTCCAGCCATCTCACCTGTGAAATCAGGCAGCGCCTTATCGTCCACCAGCAGAAGAGGCCGCACCTGCTTTTGCTCCAGGAGATTTCTGGCTGCTGTCAGAGAGGTGAAGATCTCATTTTCCGCAATGTCAAATCCCAGTTTCGTCAGCCTCTCCAGCAGGTCTCTCTTGCACTCTTTTGTTGTGTTGGTCACAAATCGAATGGTAACTGGAGCACCACGCAGCCTGATGCAGAAGAGCAAAGGCAAATTGGACAGAACTCTTTTTACTTACACCCTTCGTATACCTCCTTGGGACTTAAAAAGGAGCATCTGTCTAAAGGCTGCGGCTGAAAAGATCACCTAGGTCCCAGACTACTGGTGCTACAGGCCAGAAGAAACAGGAGGTCGTTAGCCTCTGCGCGGACCAGAGGGCAACGTAAAACACAGGACAAGAGTTCGAGCTATGCTCTGCAGAAAACAAGATCAGGTCTCCCCTGCTCTGCTGCCACCAGGAAGAGTCAGGAGAAACGGTGATTCCAAATTTCATCTTCACAGGAGTAACAAAAACACCTCTGATCAACTGCAACTAGTCTGAAAAGCCTTTTAATTCAAACTAGATCGTAGTTGTCCAGCCCTGTATTCTGGATTAACAGCATCCTGAACCAAAATAAACAAACAGCAGAACCTTGCTGCTAAATTGATATATTGAACTCAACACGCCTGGTGAATTTCACAGTAGCTGTAGCTCACTCAGAGATGCAGGAAGCTCTAGCAGCCTATGTTATCTGTGTGGCACTTTTATGTCAGCTTTTGCAGCCATTTCTCCCTTCACAGAGGAACAGCGATCATCACATAAAACCACGTTATTGCCTCACACTGACAGTACACGCTACCGAATAACCAAATAATTTTAAGTGACAATTTCAATGGCATTTCCTTTAATTGCTCCCCCACCATCACTTTCTCTGTTTGTTGCTATAGAAACAAACACTGGCAGCGCAACTGCATGGGGAACAGAATAAAGTTGGTCAACGCTGGAGACTTGCTCGCATCTGCCACTTCTTCCCCTTGTCTGTTCTGCTTCCTGGAAAGACACGATGACCTTTCAAACTATGAACTGGTAAAACAAACAAACAAAAAGATCCCCTGTTTACTAATAAAATAGAAATTAAGATTTATGTCCTCAATACTAAAAGGCAATCCTGAAAATAGAATCTATGGTTTTGTTCCCAAAGCAAGCTGTGCGCCAATCACTTCAGGCTCTCTTTAGGAAGGACAATTACCTGGATTAGCAAAAACGATTATGAGAATTTTTTTTTTTTCTTTTTTCAAACCTCCAGGCATACAAGACCTGACTGTTCTTTGCAGGGAAATGACATCTGTTCGCCAGACCTGTGATCCTTAACTGAAGCACAACAGAGCACTGGACTATCTCCACGTTTTATCCTTTCTCCAATTTCCCTCCCTTGCTCTCCCCTCTTGAAGCTAGTACAGGGCTTGCACGAGCAAAGCCCGGTAGGAATCAAGCAGAAGCACAGCAGAAGGCAGAGGAGAATCAATGGCTTTATAAAATACTGTCTGTCTTCTGATTCAACAGAAGTCCTTTCTATTGCCCTGACTATTGCCTGAGGGTTTGGAGGTAAGCAGCAGATAGGAGAGAGTCAAGCTGCTCTTGACAGTATCATCGCTTCTATACATCCAGGGAATCTGCAGAATGCTCACTCTCATCTGGCACAAGTTCTCCCTGCAGCATGAAACAGGGGCAAGCAGGATCCAGTGAATGAATGAGCATGAATGAATAGCCAACACTTCAGCAGTTTTTACTTCCTTGCAGTCCTGTATCTTTAGGGGATAATTATTTCCACAGAATTATCTGTGAAGAGAAACACAGACTTTCCTAATCCATCTGCTTTCCCTCTGAGCTACAGTCTAGCTTTATAAAAATCCAAGCAGTTGATATAACTCCAGTAAAAACGTCCCGTGCTTAATTCAACCCTATTTCTCTCCCCTCATTAACTCTCACTGCTCTAGCATCTTAAAGTGGCTCGTCACTCACCACGGTGGCATACATCACTTAATATTGTTTCTCTTTGTCCTTTGCAAGGTGACTTCTTCAGGGAAACAGTGTCAGAACACGACACAAAGATCCCTGGAACTGCATATCTGACTATGCTGCCGACTTGGCCCTTCAACGACGGTAAATCATTTCACTTGCTTCTGTAGACACGCTTTCATCGGAAGGGGTACTTACTGCACTGTTAATTAATGTGTTTAAATTCATATAAAAGATGGGCTGTATTATCAAACGTTTCCCCAACTAAAAAGCTGAGCTTGTTTACCTAGCAGAAAAAGCTTTTAAAAAATTAAATACAGAAAACCTTGTCTGAAATACCAAATGAAATGAGGACTCTGTAAAGGACACCTTGCTCATTGAGCCAAGTTATTCTCACTGTTAATCCAATTTAGCCCAGCACAGGCTTAAGGGCTCAGATATAAGATCAGGTTCCCGTAGTTAAACAAAGCGCTGAGCATCAGCTGAGCTGAAGTGATTTTGGTACACATGGGGTAATCCAGGTTAAGTTAACAATCTTCCACTTTGGGATAAGGCTGCAATCCCATATGAATTAGCTGAAACGATCCAAATAATAAGTCTTTTCTACCCAGAAAAGACTCAGAAAAGACCTAGTGAGCTACTTAGGGAAGCTGCAGGGAAACAGGTGGTGTGTAGTAACATGTCAATATCGAGGCCCCTTGCAGAGTTCTCCTGGTATTAATACATATTAATTAACGCTTATATATATCAGCATAACGAGGCAGAACCGTCAGGCCCTTCCACTAAAAGAAGCACCTTGTGCAAACAGCATTGACACAACCCGTAAGAGGAAATGGGAAAAGGTGGCTTGCCTTTTAAGAGCTTCCTGCGCGCCTGGCACAGCTGAGTCTTCAACATGAAGCGTGCCGCTGAGGTCCACCAAGACAGCTTTCAGTGCACGCCGAGCTGCCATCCTCCATTCCCCAGGGAAAAGGCAAACAAATGAAACAACGAAAACTGCTTAGCAGACAATGGATAATAAAAATAAGGAACTCAGTTAAGCGCCTCATTTGTGCCAAGCCCGGTATTACTCAGAACATTACTCGTAGTGTTAAATGGGCCCCTTTAGACAGAGAAATAAAAGGCAGCGCTTAAAAAAAAAAAAAACATAATTGATGGGGTGGTATTTTCCCAAAGACTCTATATATGGAAATCAGGTGCTATTTGTTTCTTAAGTGCCTGTATTTCCGCACATCAAAAAAGTTCCCTAAACAACCAAGACCGCTGGGAAGGGGATCCTTACGTCCGGCGTTGCCGGTTCAAGGCCTCGGCAAGCACGTTTCAGCAAGCCGCCTCGACGCAAGTGGTGCCGTTCAAGTAAAAACAAACACGACGCCACTAGGCGCTCCGACTACC